CTCTCTCTCTCTCTCTCTCTCTCTCTCTCTCTCTCTCTCTCCTTCACTCCCTCCCTCCCTCCTTCCCTCTCTCATTATGAACTTACATATCCATCGTTTACTACTACAGTAGTTGCCTTCCTAACACTTTTAAAAATGTGATATCCCTTTTTAAAATCTTGAACAAGTTTCCATTGGCTATAGAATAAAACCCAAAGCACACCGTATGGTATTTAGCATTTTTGCTCAGCAACCACACATGCAGTGCACTCTTTTGATGAACCTGAACACCATCTCCTTACATATATGCCACATGATTTTATTTTGCTTGTGCCTTTTCTCTTGTCTTGGGATATCCTGTGTCCAGTTCTCTACCTAGCAAAATCTATCACTTTTAATGATGACTTTCCAATAGCCAAATCCTTTGTACTTAAACTTCCAAATACAATAGCTGGTCCTGGTCGTATTTCTATAGTCTTTTCTTCTTCCTGAGAATATGACATATTAAATTTCAGCTGGTTAATTTCACAGCAGCTTTTATGATAATTAATATTCATTGAAGGTAGGAACCTTATCAATATAAGAGTAGAACTTAATATAGTGCCTGATACATAACTGTCCTTTATTAAACATTTGTTTTTAAGTGAGTTGTTAGAATACTTATCATCTCTTTTTAATATATATCATTCGACACAAAAAATTTGGAAAAAAGTCATTTCATAATAAAAAATCCTAGAAACTATTATTAGTATTCTGTTGTATATTCTCATAGAGTTTTTTCTACTCACACTTTAACGTTATTAAAATCAAAACATAATTAAAGTTTTATAATCTGACCTTTTTACTTAACATTATAGTGTGAGCATTTCCCAATGTCTTTAAGACATTTTGGGAACTCTTTTTCATGATTATCTAATAATTATTCATATGGATATACAACAATTTATTTCGTTATTGTTTATCATTAAAAATTTTCATTTTTTTTCTACAGTATAAATAGACATGTGATAGGCATATTTTATTGCTAAATATTAAATTACTGATTATTGTCTATGGATTTATTATACTAAAGAGATTATATGTTTTAAAGACTCCATACATATTGGTAAATTGATTTTCAAAAGGAAAACCTAACTATTTTGACAATATATAAACTGATAGTAATTTATTATACTCTGGCTGATTTTTCCCTATAAAATTCTTATTTAGTTGTACTTTCAAATTTTTTCCCTTTAAAAAACATACGTATATTTTTGGAATAAAAAGTAATCAGCATGGGCCAGCCGAGTGGCTCAGTTGGTTAAGAGCTTGCTCAAGAGTTTGAGCTTGGAGCAACAGCGGTTCGATGCCCGGCCCAAGCTGAGCTGCTGCTAAGCTGCCAATAGGTAGCAGGATGGCTCAGCAAAAAAAAAAAAAAAAGTAATCAGCAATAAAATTAAATCGCAGAACAATATATACAGCATATTCCAAGTATGTTTTCTAACATTTATATTTGTTAATATATTTTATATGTAAATAAAAGTTTAGAGAAAACACTGAAACAAAACTCATAAACTGAGGATGACAGGAGGAGTGAAAGATTCCCTTTTTAATCTGTCTGCTTCTTGTAACATATTTGTTTATTGCTGATTAGAAAGAAAACAAGAAAAAGAAGGAAAGAAGGAAGGAAATATGCCAGTAACTGAAAATAAGAATTGTGATGAAATATTTTAACTACTAGGACAGGAAACCATTGTAAGGCATAGCAGGGTCACTATAGACTAAGAAGGGATGTTTGACCTGACACCTAAGTTAGTTCCCAAAGCAGGTCCTAAAGCTGTCAAGTGGAGTGAACAAGAGGAGGGAACTTCTTGACGAGCATATGTGCAAGTTCATAAATTAAAGAGCGGATGACCTTTTCCGGGAACTAAAGACATTTATTTTGTTTGCTAAGTGGGGTTCGAGGGTACTGTGGCAAGTGGAAAGGCCAGAGAGATTAGCAGAGCCCTTTCCTAAGGGCTCGTAAGGCAAGAGATTTAGATTTTACCTTAGAAGAAATGAGACACTTTGAAGGATTTTAAGGAAAATGGCATTAATAGACTTGTGTTAGAAAATTATGTCTGCAAAGCATGAATTAAAAACACTTTAAATAAGTACAATTTCTAAGAACAGAAAAAAATGTTAGAACCATATTATTTTGAAATTAATCACAAAAGGTATGGAATATGAAAACCAAAAACTCACTCAAAAGACTGCAGTGTGCTGAATGGATGAAGGGGAGCATCACTGGAGACAGGGAAACCAGTCAGGTAGAAGCTTTGAAATGACCCAGGTGTGTGATAATTGCAACCTGGTTGCTGGGGCATGCCATACCAAAGTCCCACAAACAGAAATTTATCGTTTCTCTGGATGCTAAAAATATGTGAGAAAATGAAGCAGGGTTGGCTTCTACTAAGGGTTGTGAGAGAGAAACTATTCCATGCTTTCTCCTAGCTTCTGGGCAATTCTGGTAATCTTTGGCATTTTTTGCCTTGTACTTCATCACTCCAACCTTCACATTCATCTACATGTAGCATTCTCCTTGTATCTCTCAATTTCCAAATTTCCCCTTATTGTAAGAATTCCGTTATATTGGATTAAGGCCCGCCCCAATGTCCTCATTTTAACTTGATTACCTCTAAAAGACCCTATCTCCAAAAAAGGTGACATTGTGAGGTACTTGGGGTTAGGACTCCAACATAGCTTTTTGTTGAGGGGGGTGGGGGTGACACAATTTAACCTATAACAGGATCTAGAGAGAAAAGAAGGGAATTTAAGGTATCAAGGAAGTAAAATTGACTGCCTTGGTTGATTGGGACTCCTGGGATATGATTTTGGAGACTGTTGGAGAGTAAGTGTCATTTACTTAGATAGAAGTTAGAGAGTGAGGACTGTATGTGCAGGTTGGGCAATTGGAAGACAGTTTATTCACTTTTAGGTGTGAAATATGATAGACCAATGAAAATGCACAATTGACATTGGCTAGAGTTGGGCTGGAGGCTCATATTTGGGAATCGTTATCCTGTTTCTGCCCGTGGAAGTGCCCAGGAAAGCTTGTGCAGTGACAGTCAGAGCCAGGACAGAATATTAACATCCTCTGACATTTATGTCAATGGGAGAGAGGTGTAAAAACAGCTGCCCCCCAAAAGGAGATACAAAATATGTTATGCCCATACGGAAGAGTTTTTATGCCCATAGGGAAATGAGGGTTGATTCAACCTTGTGAAATTCTCCTGGGAGGTCAAGGAAGATGAAAACTGAAGTTTCTGTGCGGTGGGGACAAGCAGCTTGCAACCGGCAAGAGCAAGTTTAGCACCTCAATTGGGGCAGAGTGGAGTGCTGCGAGCTATGAGGAGGTGATGAGATGAGACAGTGGGAGTGGACAGCTCTCCTTAGGTGGAGAGCTGGGGAGGAGGGAAATAGAGCAGAGGCTGGACTGCAGGGCTGATTGGAGATTTTTGGGGTTATTTTCTGTTTTGTTCTGATCTGTTTGTAAGATGGATGAGACCTGCAAGTGTGCAAAAACCAACAAGAGGAATACAGTGGGGAAGTATTTAAGATACAGAAGACAGGATATTCAGAAAAGCCAATTTTAGAGAAATGGAAAGTTGGTAGGATCCTGAGCAAGGATTCACCTATCATAAGAGGGAAAAATAAAAAAACTTTAATTGCATTAAGGGAGGAGTTGGGATGGAGTTAAACTGTATGTTCCAGGTTTTTTTACAAGAGGTTCCCAACCTTCATGGTAAAGGGTGAGAATGCAGGTGGTGGGTTCTACCTTTGATTTCTCTGTATTTGGCGAATCAGAGAAAACACTGTTAACAGTGAAGCTTCAGGGGTACTGATTTTGCCAGTTGTGTTCTTTGTCTGACTGGAGAGGGGCATGTAATGGGAAGGTCTGATGTGGCGATAGTTTGCAGATCTATCGAGTTTTGTAAGTGAGTGCTTATCATATCTAAACCAAAAGCTACATTTCCTGTTTAGGATTTGTGATAATAAATGTCCTATACTGATTTCATTTTACCATAGCATATTGGGAATTTTGCCAAAGTGTATAATAGCACTAATATTTCTAGGATTTTAGTCAATTTTGCAAAGTGGTTTTACTTTTAGATTATCCAGTCAGCAAATTATAGTTTGTTTTACTGACTTAAGGGAAAGACGAGTATACTTGCTTATAAATTTGAATGTTTTTCTTTATAGGTATTCAGTTAAAGTTGTATTACCACATCCTGTGACAATACAGGTGCGCACGTCCAAACCAGATGTATTCATCAAGCTGCAGATCCTAGAAAATGAAGAAACTATTGTGAGCGCCACCGGGAAAGGCCAAGCTCTAATCCCAGCATTTAACTTCTTGGGGAATGAGAAAGCGTTGAGCTCCCAGTGTAAGTGCGGCTTTTAAATATCAGTCATTTTTAAGTAGGTATTTATTTTATGCAACTGAGTTTAAAAATGTTCTCTTTAAGGTAAAATGGCAGTAAACATTGAACTTTGTAAAGCTTGATATTATAATAAAATACTTAAAAACTATTGCATTTTTTTGTATCAAATTAGGTGAAAATCAATAGATTTGTTATAGTTGTACATTAAAGACTTTTTTATTACACGAATCTTCTTAGATTTCTGAATGATAACATTTTTATTATTTTGAAATAAATTTTTACTTTTATTTCCAATTCATTATTTTTAGAAAATATTGTACTTATGAAAATTAACAGAAACTTCGAATTTGTTATTTTCCATGGAATAGTCACAAGAACTATTAATTAATGAAATAAAATTATTTCTGAAATAATGGATAACAGGGACATGGTGAGATATATATTGTTATTTCAGTAACTTGATTCGGACTATAAAAATAACATCAGCCTAATGTAGAAAAATAGAAAATTATAAACAAGGGAACAAGAAATCCCTCGTAATCATTTTACCCAGAAAAAAATACTCTTAGTATGCTCGCTTTTATGCTTCCATTCTTCATTTTTGCTTAACATATCAAACAAAACTTGGTTTTTACTTCTTTTGATAATTGATATTTCTTCTTAAAACTGTAACTTTTTTTCTACTTCGTGGCATTGGTTGGGACCTCCAAACTTATGTTGAATAAGAGTGATGATGATATATTTCCTTTCCTTAAATAGGAAAGCTGATAGCATTTACCATTAAGTATTACGTTTGTTGTTGACTTCTAATAATTGCCGTTCATAAAATTTAAGACAGTTCTTTGGAGTGATAGATAAGAATTTTAGTAAGGAATGGGTTTTGAACTATATTAATTAGCTTTTGTGATTTATAGAAATCATCAAATTTTAAACCTTTAAATTTCAGAAATTAATTTTTAATTTGGAACACTTCCTGGAATAAAACCTACTTATGATGTTTTAATACATTCTTGTATTTAGAATATACTATTTTATTTAGTTTGTTGGATCATATCAATAACTATGGGTATTTTGTTCTCTGTGTATGCATTGTACACTATTCTTTTGAGGCTCTCAAGTTAGAATTATGACAAATTTTAAAAATTAATTTGGAAACTTTCAAACTTTGGAAGCCATTTAAATACTACAGAAATCATTTGGCTTTTAAAAGTTTATTAGATTTGACCTAAAAACTGTCTAATTCTGATGTTTTCAAGGAATAAGTTTTTCTTTGCTTTTAATTACTTTTTAAATAATTTCAATGGTTACTTTTACCAAACTTTTTCATATTTACAATATATATTTTTATTTGAAAGTGACAATTTTACCTAGTATTTCACATGTATCTGCATATATCTGTATACAGGATTCTTTTAACCTTTAAAATTTTTTTCTGAATGTGTTTGCATAACCATTTTTAAATATTAATATTTATTTGTGTTTTTAAAATGTATTCTTGATTAGACTTTTAAGAGATTTCCCTGTTTTTGATATATTAGATTGAATTCTTGGATTAAGCAATCAAGCCTAATGGCTCTTTTATATTCATAATCTATTTTATCAATATTCATATTTATTATTTAAAACTTTTCTTATGCTTTTAAATTTTAATTTATTGTTCTTTTTTCTAGTTTCACCAGTTGAAAGCTTAGTTCATGTTTTAAATCTTATTTTTAAATAAACAAAATTAATGATATACATTTTCCCAGTATAGACATATATATTTGTAGGAAACTACAATACCCATTTTATATGTAGTGTTATAGTAGTTGGCCATGGCCTATGATTTAATTTTGAGTTTCTCTTTAACTTTAAACATTTATAAATTTTTGCAATTTCCAAATAATAATATTGTTTTGGCTAGCCTTTTGTTATTAATATCTAATTAAATTCTGTAGAGTTAGAGTGTGGCTTATTTATTTTCAATTTTGGGAATTTGATTGATGTTTTTCCTATGACTCAATTCAAATCAGTTTCAGTTAGTGTTACACAGAGCTTTGTAAAGAAAACATATGTTCTATTTTGGAGATAAATAGTTTGATGTCTAAATACACACATTCTCTCTAATAAAAATAAAGCTTGCTAATTGTGATATTTAAAAATTTCAAGATTGTTACATTTTATCTTACTGGCATGTAAGTTTTTGGGAAAAGTATTATATGTTAAGATCTACTTTCTTTGTAAAATCTGTAAATATTTCTATCTAGTATTTTTTAGTTTTGCATATTTCTATGTTGTGTTGCTAGTTGCGTAAAGTTCCACATTTGCTTTATATTTTTTGACATGTTGTATTTTTAAAATGAATATAAAGCAGCCTTTCTTCAACTTTAATAGGTTGTCTGATACATTGATTCTTCCATTTATCATTTGCCTGTTCATTTGTATTCATCCATTTAGTCTTTCGATACTTCTCTAATAAATGGATATTTTTTCCTACTCAGTCCAAGATTCTAGTCTCTAAAGTAATATAATTCGTCTACATTTATTTTGATAAATATGCTTTTCCCGAATTCTGCCATCATGTTTTAATTTATAATTGATTATATCTTCTCGTTGATCTTTGTATAACCATTTGGTAGTCAGCACTCTTCCTGAACTCCTAATAGTGTTTATGTTTATACCTTAAGTACACAAGCAAATTACTAAAACCAACTGTCTTGTTACCTATCTTCTATTATTTATATGTTTCTTTTTTATTTATTTTTCCTTTTTTAAAATAGACACAACTCTTTTTCCTCTCTTAGCAACCCTGGCAACAGTGTATGAGTTGTCCTTAGCCTAGGGATATGCCTTTCCAACAGGAATGAGAGTTTGGAGGAGCAGAGAATTGAGAAGACCACTGTTCACATTTCCATCACAATAGATGAGTTTTACCTGTTCTAGAAGTTCATGAAATTGAAAGCATGTGAATACTCTTTCCGCACTGGTGCTTTTTGCTCGGCATAATGTTTTTAAGATACATACATGTTGTTGCTAATCCTTTCCTTTTTATGTCATGGAGTATTATTCCATTGTATGGAGTCTAGAGTATGCTCTCTGCTTTGAAACAATGTTGAATTTTGTTCTGCAGACAGTTTATTTACAGCTCATTTAATCCTATCAAGACTTGGTTCTAAGTTTTCTTAAATTAAGTCTAGAGTTTTCATTACTTTAGGGTTAAGGTAGCTTTACCCCTCAAGAATAGCCTTTCTTGAGCCTCAGCTGAATGCCCTGTGTATTCATTCAAGTCCCTTCATTTTGGCAGAATTCCAATGTCTCTTAACAACTGTGCAACCTTCAGAATCTTCATTACGCTGATGATTTCCCAGTAGTTGTCTGCCAGGCACTGCTGGGTTGTTTGTACAAATGAAGTTTAGAATTCAGCTAAAGGCTCAAGTGGAACCCAATGCATATTTCGGGGCTCCTTTGCTGCTCAAATGCTTCCTTTCTGGTTCCCTGCCTCACAAATTTCAGCTGTCTCAAAAGCTCCAGACTCAAATCTTTGCTTCCTGAACGTGACAATACTGCGGTTCGCTGTTTGGACTCGACTTCCCCGTGTCACAATTAAGAAGTTTCTCGCAAGCAGAAATCTGGGGAAGTGGAGAGATCTCCTTATATGTTTCCCTTCTCTCAAGGATCACAATTCTGGGCTTGCTGTTACAGCCCAATGGCTGCAAACAGTTGATTTATACATTTTGTTGTATTTTATCATTTTTTATGGTATGAGAATAAATCGAATGCCCATCATTCTGTCATGGATGAAATTGGAATGTCCCTGTGTCATTCACTTATGTTCCCTCAATACACATTTAATGACTCAATTAAGAACATATAGCACATTTTAATTTTTATCCCTCCCAATGGTACTTATATTATTGTTAATTACAAAATAATGAATGTTGAAATTAAAAATTAAAATGAAAGTTTTTTATAAGTGTGATAACATATACACACATTCTATTAAACACTAAAGAAGTCATATTATGTGATATTAGTTTAGTGCCATTTGAGTGGCACAGAATGACTGAGAAATTGTTGAATTGTTGCATATTCTTTCATCAATCAGTGGTTACTCAGAAGATGCATTGCTCTGTGCAAATCACATACGTTTATAGTGAGTTCCTTTAAGGCCGGAATATTTCCAGGAAGCCAGTGAAGTATTTTTTTAAACTCCTTAAAACAAAACAAATGGATGTGTTCTTTTGAGTGTCTTATAAAGGTATGCAATGAAAAAACACAGTCAATAAAAGCTACGCATTGTACATATTTTAACTTAAACATAATATTTTTTTCTATTCAGCTAGCAAGCAAATTATTTTAAGTCATGTTTCAGCCAAGAAAGATCAAGAATTGTACAATAAGAAGAAGTCTGCCCAGGGAAGTCAGAAACCTTCTAAGGGTAGACCTGGAAGTGCCGCAACAGACCCTGGTCAGCTCACTTTGGACGATGAAAACCTGAGTGCATCCACTATAGAAGAAAGTGCCAGCACCCCACAGCAGGTATAGTTACACTATTCAGTGGCACTGCTCCTAAAAATCTAACATAAATTACAATAATTCTCTTCCTAAAAATTATCAATGTATAATACTTTCGCTATGCAGTGCCGTCAGTGCATAACCAGAATTGGAGAATTGGACATTATTGAACAATTTCTCCGTACCAAGATTTAAAAATACGTGACAAGTTTAATCTGTATCCTAACCCTATAATGTAGATGTAATTATCTTATTGCATGAGTTATAAAAGGCTATATAACTTTGAGAAGGGTCACATATTAATAAAAACTGACTTGTATGAGTTAAAGAAACGAAAAATAATACATATAATTTAAAGAAACAGAAGAAAACATGACCTATCCATTAGAAAATAAATAAAAAATTAAGAAAATAAAATGGCAGGAATAAATCTTAATATGACAGCAATTACAATAAATACAAATTGATTACTAATCAATTAAAAAGATAAAAATTTAAAGTTAGATAAAAACAGGATCCAACTATAAGTAGTCTGAAAGGGACACTTTCAAATGAAATGGTACAGAAAGCTTAAAGCTAAGCCAAGAGAGAGCTGTGATAATATCTTAATTTCTCAGTATATAGAATTCATGAAGGATATTACATAAAAATACAAGAAAGAATAAAACAAGTAAATATGATAATAACAAACATATAAGTACCTATATACCCAGACTCGATAAATAAAAAGCAAAAACTACAGAGAAAAATAAGTAAGCTAACAATTAATAGTTGAAGAATTTAACACACACCTCTCAGAAACTGACAGATGAAGGTGAAAAATAAAATACTTATGATTTTTAGGATTTGACAAATATAGTTATAAGCTTAATCCTTTAGATAGCTACATAGAACATGTAACCTAACAAACAGAAAACATTTTTTTTCATAAAACACACAGGAAGCCTCAATAAAAAAAAACACTATTCTATATTGTATAGATTTGAACAAAATGGAATGATATAGAAATTAATAAACAGTCTAAAATCCCATAAATGTGGAAACAAAATGAAATATACTAAATTATCCTTTATTTTTGATGTTTAAAAGAACATTTAGAAAGGGATTATAAAATACGAAGTACTCAAAACAATAAAAGGCTATAAATCAAAATTTGTAAGCTACATCTAAAGTAGCATTAAGTAAAATATTGACTTTTAAAATAATTCATCAAAAGCATGAATGAGGGCCTGCTGAGTGGCGTGATGGTTAAGAGCTGTCTTGGGACGCCAGAGGGCCCCGGTTTGGATCCCACATATGAGGGCCAGTGACACTGCCCTCTACAGCTAAGATGATGAACAACAGCTCAACCTGGCACTGGGCTGCCATGAGTCCCTGGCGACAGTGTAGGCTGCAGCCCCTGCTGCAGTGGGTTGCCATGGGCTACCGTGTGTAGCCAGCAGCCAGCATGAGCGGCCAGCAGCCGCCTTAAGCGGCCGTTCAGAAGCTGGTGACTGATCTGACTTGCCTGGGAAGAGCACAATGATGGTGCCAACTTGGGCCAGTGAAGCAACGTCCTCCACAACTAGATTGAAGAACAAAACGACAGCAACTTGTCTGTTCCCCTTCCCCCAATTCCCCAGCAATGTTCCAATCCCCCCAATTCCCCAATAAAAATCTTTAAAAAAAAAAAAGCATGAATGATTTAAAAAAATGAGCTAAACTATTTAAACAAAAAGTTAGAAAAAGAGCAAAAGAAAAAAATTTAATAACAATGAGGAACAAAATATAGGAAGATTAATAAACACTTATTTTTTTAAAGAAAAATAAAGTACACATGCTTCTTATAAGACCAATCAAGAAAGAAAAAAAGAAAGGAAATATACACAAATCAAATATAGAACAAAAAAATAGGGTTGAGGTACAATTCCAAACAACAGATGTCTTCCAAAAAATAAAAATTAAAGTGTTTTATACAACCCTATGCTAACAAATTTAAAACAGAGAAGAAACATGATACGTATCTAGGGTAAGGGGAAGAATGGCAAAACTGCCTCAATATAAAATAGAAAATATAATAATAATAATAATAATAATAAGAAGAAGAAGAAGAAGAAGAAGAAGAAGAAGAAGAAGAGGAGGAGGAGGAGGAGGAGGAAGAAGAAGAGGAAGAAAAAAAAAAGAAGAAATAAAACTGAAATGATCATTTAAGTCTTATCTTTCCAAAAAGCTATAGACCCAGCTGGCTTTACAGGATAGATCTAACAGATTTTCAAGAAGTAAATTGTTCTAAAAAAACAGAAAAACAGCACCAACTTTCTAATCTTTTCTCAGAGATTAATGCAATCTTAATTCCAAAACTGATGAGTAACAAAAATAAAATAAATAAATTTTATTTATAAGCATGGATGAAAAAATTATGAAAGAATATATAATGGCAGGTCTTGGTGGGGATGTGAGGATAAGCTTTTATAGACTGTAGTGTTACAGAGTTTGGAGAACATCTGATAGTATTTTATTAAATTATGATGATCCAGAAAAACATGCATTTATTAATGTTTAAAATAATAAATTTTAGGCACATATTATGTTTATTCATATTGATTTTGCCTAAATATTGCATTTTGTTTCAGAATTACAAGTATATTATACAGTGTTTGGTATTGTATAACAGTTGGCCTCTCACTGAAAGTCAGCTGATGTTTGTTCAAGCACTAAAAGACTTAGAGAAAAATGATAACAAAGGTATGTCACCCTAAATATTATTTATGTATTTTATATTTTTTATAAATATTTAATGGTAAATTTGTCATGTGGCTATTATTTCTTACAATCCATGGCATTTCCTGTTTGGTTATTTGATTACATGTTACAAAATTTTTACTAGCTTGGTTTATAAGGACCAAAAATACGAGGTCAGACAATTAAGTTTGTGAACTTGTTGCGACGATGTTGCTAACTTTTTCTGATATCAGAGGGATTATTCATTATGAATTTGTACCAACTGGACAAACAGTTAACCAAGTTTGCTATTTGGAAGTGCTGCAAAGGCTGAGTGAAAAACTTAGACGACCAGAATTTTTCACCAACAATTCATGGCTCTTGCATCACAGCAATGCACCAGCTCACACAGTGCTGTCTGTGAGGGAGTTTTTAGCCAGTAAACAAATAACTGTATTGGAACACCTTCCCTACTCACCTGATCTGGCCCCCAATGACTTCTTTCTTTACCCAAAGATCAAGGAAATATTGAAAGGAAGACATTTTGATGATATTCAGGACAGCAAGAGTAATACGATGACAGCTCTGATGGCCATTCCAGAAAAAGAGTTCCAAAATTGCTTTGAAGGGTGAACTAGGTGCTGGCATTGGTACATAGCTTCCCAAGGGGAGTATTTTAAAGGTAACCATAGTGATATTCAGCAATGAGGTATGTAGCACTTTTTCTAGAATGAGTTTGCAAACTTAATTGACCTGGTAAAGCATCTTTTTTTGACCAAAATGGTATGAAATTGGAAATCAATTACCAGAAGAAAACTTTAAAAAATCACAAGTAGGTGATTAAACACAATGCTACTGAACAACCAATGGGTGCAAGAAGAAAACAAAAGTTAAATCAAAATAATATCTAGAGACAAATGAAAATGGAAATGCAACATATCAAAATGTGTAGGATGCAGCAAAAGCAGTTCTAAGAGGGAAGTTTGTAGCAGCAATGCCTCTATTAAGAAAAAAGAAAGATCCCAAATAACTTAACTTTACACCTCAAAGAACTAGAAAAAGAACAAAATTCAAAAATAACAGAAAAAAAGGAAACTACTCTGAACAATTATATGCCAACAAACTGGACAACCTAGGAGAAATGGTTAAATTTCTAGAAACTTAAAACATACCAAGACTGAATCATAAATAAATAGAAAATCTGAATAGAACAATTAATAGTAAGGAGCTTGAGTCAGTAATAAAAAAAACTCTGAACAAAGAAATGTCTAGGACCAGATGGCTTCAATGGTGAATTCCACCCAACATTTAAAGAATTAATGTCAATATTTTTCAAACTCTTCCACAAAATATAAGAGGAAAGAATACTTCCAAACGAATTTTATGAGCCCAGCATTACCCTGACTCCAAAATTAGATGATACTACAAGAAAAGAAATTATAGCCCAATATCCCTGATGAACATAGATGCAAAATTCATCAATAAAATACAAGCAAACCAAATTCATCAATACATTAAAAGGATCATATACCATGAACAAGTGAGATTTATTCCACGGACACAAGGATGGTTCAATACCCACAAATTAATCAGTGTGATACACCACATTAACAAAATGAAGGATAAAAATCAGATGGTCCTGTCAATAGATGAAGAAAAACATTTGACATAATTGAACATCCATTTAGGATAAAAACTGTCAACAAATGGATATAGAGGGAACTTACCTGAACATAATAAATGTAATATATGACACCTTTCCAAAGAAGACATACATGGTGAACAGGTACATGAAAAGATGCATGACATCACTAATCACTGGAGAAATGCAAATGAAAAACAAAATAAGACATTATCTCCCACGTGTTAGAATGGCTATCATCAAAAAAGACAAAAATAACAAGTGTTGATGAGAATGCAGGGAAAATAGAAACTTTGTGCACTGCTGGTGGAAAGCATGTCCATGTAGCCACTATGAAAAACAATATGGAGTTTCCTCAAATAATTAAAAATAGAATTACTATGTCATCCAGCAATCCCACTTGTGGGTATAAGTTAAAAGGAAATGAAATCAGTGTCTCAAAGAGATGACTGTGCCCTCATGTTCATGGCAGCATTATTAGACATGACACTAAGTTTCCATCAGTGGATGAATGGATAAAGAAATTGAGGTATATATACACAATAGAATACTATTCAGCCCTATAAAGAAGGAAAACCTATTCTTTGCACCAACATGAATGTACCTTGAAGGCATTAATCTAAATGAAATAAGTCAGAGAAAGCCAATGCTGTACGATATAATTTTTATGTGGAATCTGAAAAAACAGAACTCATAGAAACATAGAACTGATTGGTGGTTGCCAGAGAGAAGGGGGCAGAAGGGTAGAGGAAATGGATGAAGGTGGTCAAAAGGTACAAACTTCCAGTTAGAAGATAAATAAGTTCTAGGGATGTAAAATATAGCATGGTGACCATAGTTAACAATACTGTATTGTATATTTGAAAGTTGCTAAGAGAATAGACCTTAAAAGTTCTCATCATAAGTGTAAGAAAAGAAAAAAAAATTGTAACTATGTGAGGTGATGTGAACTTATTGTGGAAATCATTTCACAGTATAAATATATCATTATATTATACACCTTAAACTAATCCAATGTTATCTGTCTATTACATCTCAATAAAACTTAACCAGAAAACGTCGAAAACTTATGTCCACACATAAACCTGCACATGGATGTTTATAGCAGCTTTATTCATAGTAGCCAAAAGTTGGGAGCAACCAAGATGTCCTTCACTAGGTGAATAGATAAATAAACGGTGGTACATCCAGACAATGGAATATTATTCAGCTCCACAAGGAAATGAGGCATCAAGCTATGAAAAGACATGAAACAACCCAAAATGCATACTACTAAGTGAAAGAAGCTAATCTGAAAAAGCCACATAATGTATGATTCCCACTGGAGAAGATAAAACTATGGAGGAAGTAGAAAGATCAATAGTTACCAGGGGTCTGAGTGGGGGAGGGATGAAGAGGCGGAGCACAGAGAATTTTCAGAGCAGTGAAAACAGTCTGTATGCTATTATAATGATGAATGCATGCCATTGTACATTTTTCCTAACCTGTAGAAGGTACAACAGCAAAAGTGAGCCCTAAGGTAAACTATGGGCTTTGGGTGATGATGATGTGTGGGTGTAGGTGGGTCCCTTGTAACCAATGTACCACCCTGGTGTGGGATGCTGATCGTGGGGGAGGTTGTACATATTGGGGGTAGGGAGCATATGGGAAATCTCTGTACCTTCCTGTCAACTTTGCTATGATCCTAAAACTTCTCTACAAAAAAAATAATAAAGTCTTAAAAAAAGGGGGCATGACATAAAAATGTAAACGCCTCCATTTTTTTTTTTGGACTCCATAATTCTCAGTCCAAATGCCCTCAGTAACCACCATCAAAACTTACTTTGTTTTACTCCTGAATTTTTAATGCCTGTCTATCCTATACTTGATAAAACACAAGTCTTAGAGTTCTGATCACCCTCTAACAAACACAATGCTTGACTTGTTTATTGTGTTATTATTCCCTACCAAAATGGCCCCTTGAGGGCAGGGAGTTTCGTCAGTTCTTGCCTGTTCGATCTCTTGCATTATCCATAGTGCAAACTACACAGTTATCACTCCCTAATATTGGCTGAATGAGTGAATGAAAGGACATGTGTAGGCTGTTCTTATTATTATAGCCCTTATTCACTAATTGCCAAAAAAACCCACCTCTGTTCATGGATTTGCTTGCTTGTACTATCTGCATGGACCTGATCAGTTAAAGAGTTAATAAAGATTTGTTTATTGCTGAAGTTAGGAGAAAACTATTATGAGTGAGCTAAACCTTTATTCAAAGCGACAGATTCTAGTGTGGGACATAAAATTCAAAGAAAATTTCTAAGAAAAAATGACACTGAGAGTCCCCATTTCCTTCCGAATACATTGAGTGTGCGTCTAGACGACTCTGTGGGAGTCCTTAACTTGCCTTCCTCCCTCACCGCCCTCCTCTCACGGGGCCGGGACTCTGCCTCAGCCTCATCGGTTTACCTCCAGAACCAGATAGAGGCTGTAAGTAAATGTGTATTGAAGGAATGCATGACCATGCTATGCCGGGGACAGCGGGAGTGTTTAAGTGCTAATGGTGTCCTGGCCTGCTGTTCTACAAAAGACTCTGGGGCTATGTCGGGGTCAGTGAGCAAGTGCTGTGATCTTTTCCAATGTCTAACATGGACACGTGTGAAGAAGTGGTAGCACCAGAGTCTCCTAGCTGCCACCTCTTTGCTATTCATATGTCCTGTGTATAACCCCCAGGGCAGGCACACTCAGGGGCTCAAAAATTATTTTTTGAACCAGAGGCTGTGCTACTGTTTACTAGTGATATACTCAAAAACCCCAAAGGCAGATAGCCTTTCGTACATTCTCTAGGTAAATTCATGGGATATAAATTTTGCTGAAACATCTCTGCCTCACCCTCCCCTCCCAGAGGTGACGCCTGCACTGCCCAGCACCACTGAGTGTCTGAAATACAGTGCAGGTAAGACTTCAATCTAGAATTCTTGTCTACCAGAAGAGAACACGATTACTGTATGAATAAATGTCATGAAAGTGGAAAGTGTGCAGGCCACTTTTCAGCCTAAATATATCTGTTGATCCACACATTGTGCTTACAATGGCAGTTAGCTTCGTCCCACTGCCCTTGTGACATGCTCTCTGAGATGATGTTTAGAGCCCTGTCCTTTTCTCTGGGTCCTTAGCTACAAAGGCTTTCTGACCTTACCTAATTCTCTGTAACTCTGCCTTAATGGATTACCTATAGCTAGGAATATGAGTCATTTAACTATTTTGGAATTGACCACCCACACCCAATATTATACTAAAGATACTAGCCAAAACAATTAGGCAAGAAAATGAACTAGATTAGAAACTAATTAGAAAGTAGGGATGGTTGCATAACCTGCTGAATATACCAAAACTCACTGATTTGTACTCTTAAATGGTGAGTTTATGGTATGTGAATTATTTCTCAATTTTATAAAAAGGAGTCACTCAGATTTTTATAAAAGATCTGTTTGTTTGTTTGTTTGTTTGTTTGTTTGTTAAAAAAAGAAGAAAAATCCAAACACCTTAGACTAACCGTTTTTTTGTTTTTTTTTTTCCTGACTTGCTTCTCTTGTTCCTACAGGATGTGATTTTATTGTTATGACTCACTGGTTTCCATTCTTATATCTCTCTAGTTCATGGAGAGAAACATGAGGAGTTAATTCCCTTGGGAAGCCCAGATTCCCATGCTATTAGTGAGGGGCAAAAATCTTCCGGAACATCCAGAACAACAAGGAAAGGCAAAGAAAAGTTTTCTGAGAAAGAAAAGACAGCCAAAGAAAAACAAGCACCTCGCTTTGAGACTCAGGTAGGCGTGGTATTTCTTCTCATTGGAGCCACTTAATAAACTTAGGTTCACTGGGTCCTTAGCTGCCCATCTCTCCTGAGAACAATACTGAAAAATTATACCTCCCTGGTTTCAGCAGCCATCTAGACACCTTAAGGATGTTCCATGAATGTCTTCTGCAAGTAGCCTTCTCTAGGTTAGTATCAAAAAGCATTAATTGAACTTTTAATATGTAAAACACTGTTTGGGGGACTTGGGTGTCTATTATTAATATTATACAGGTCCTACTTTCATAGAACTCACAGTCCAGTGGAGGAAACTGAAGATAAACAGAGAGTTTAATGCTAGACATTGCATGTGCAGTGGTAGAAAGAACAGGTATTTATCCATGTTAGCCTCTCTGTGGAGGATCAGAGTCCTGAACTGAGTCAATGAGCAAAGACATACTGAGGCAAAATCCAACACAATCTGTTTTGTTTTGTTTTGAATTATTAAAGTATGAGAAAGAAGGCTAGAGGGGTAAGTAAGGGTCAGATGGCGGAGAGCCTGATTAGAAGCCTGAGACTCCATCAGCCCAGGGGTCCTGATTCCAAATTCTTTCAGGGTTAGTTAGATAATTATAATGATTAGGGGTAACGAAGATGTGGGTGGCAAATTTGTGGAGTGCAAGCACAGGCCTACAGATACTCAAACTCAAGTTATTTAAAAGCACTGTACTCAAAACAAAACACCTGTGAGGACAAATTCTTCCCACTGTTTGTATTCATTGCTTAGGCTAAACAGAGTTGGAAGGTGACAGGTTTAAAAAGTGTATTACCATGATCAGATTGATATTGCAGATAACCTGGTGACTCTTAAGCATATGAATTTAAAAGGGAAAAGCTAGAGATGGAAAAGCATCTAAGAAAGTCCTACAGCTGTCCAGGCAAAAGAGTGCAAGCTGTGCCAGGTACGGGTCAAAAGCAAGAAAGAAGAGGACAAATAAAGATCTAGGAAACAAACAGGTTATATAGTTGTTAATCCAAGTGGATGCGAAGGAGCAAGAAGGAGTAAAGGATATCTCCAAGATTTCCAGCCGGATTAACTAAATAGGATGTTGGTACCACTAGTAAATAGACACTGAAGAAAAATTAACACATTAAGAGAATGATGACTCGGTTGTCCCAGACTCCAGTAATAGAAAAACGTGTCCACTTGCATTCCCAAGATTTAATTTCCTAGCTATTGGAGCCTTCTCTTGGAAACACTGGGAAGTAAATCAGCCATACCTGACTTCCACTGGGGGCAGGAGGAAACTGAGGGGTTGTGTGCCCAGATTTCTGCTCTTCTGTTTGTGTAGCTGATGCTGGCCAGCCCCAGCCCACACCAAGGCCAGGAAGGGGCGAGTCACCACTGCTGCAGAAGCATTGCAGCCTGCACCCCATAATGCAAAAGCCGTGTGGGGAAGCAGAGAAGACAGCAAAGGTATTTCTTGTGCTCACCTAAATATTATTAGGAGATAAGCCGCATCAGTCTACAAAGGGGATGCTGTACACACAAAGTAAGATGTAAATGGACCCAAAGCGAAGCATAAACTTGAAGTAGCACTGAAACTCTCCAAGCAATGTATTGGAATTTCCAAACTTAGCACTTCTGTTCCCAAGGGACTTACAAAAGTGAGTATTCATGTCCCATTTTCTAAGTACTTTGAACTTTGTTTCAAAGGCTGTTTTTGGCGATCAGAATGAAATGACTTTACATTTAGCTCAATGTAAGCCAAGTTCTTGAGTATTAAGAAGAATATCAGATGGTGGCTGGTTAAAACAGAAAAATCTTAAACAAACCATCAAATCTCTGAAAAAAATATAGTGTTAAATTAGCAGGAAAGCGTTTTCCAGAAAAGAGAAGTCATGCTATAGATGACGATGAAGATATATAGTAAATAAAGCCTTTTTCTTTACACAAATAGTTTAACCACAATATTTGGAGAGTCATTCTACTTTTTATCAAATCATATTAATTCATACATCAAACGTGTAGAAACAATGCCTCAAAAAAAGAAAAAGAAAAGAAACGTTTCCAGGACAAATCAGAAATTGCAGATAAAATGTTGAGGAAGGGAAATGCAATTCTGCTGATACTGGCGTCCTGTCGGATAAGAAACTAGACTCAGAATCTCCATATACTGTGGACAAGCTTGCAGTCCCCCGTGGGATGGACATCTGAGGTTCTCCTAGTTTCTACTACACAAAGCACTGCTAACTTCCTCATCCCACTGAGGGCATACAAGCTTTAGTAGGCAGTTATGCTGGTGGGCTTTTTCCCACATTAAAGTATGATTCAGACAGAAGAGTCAGCCAGAAGAGGAAGTGGGATGAAAACTGAACAGGCTATAAGCAAAGACAAAAAACACAGAGGAGAGGGTCAGCCTAGTGGCGCGATGGTTAAGAGCTGGCTTGGGACGCCAGAGGGCCCCGGTTCGGATCCCACATATGAGGGCCAATGACTGCCCTCCACAGCTAAGATGCTGAACAACAGCTCAACTTGGAGCTGGGCTGCCATGAGTTGCCGGCGACGGCGGAGGCTGCAGTCCCTGCTGCAATGGGTTGCCATGGGCTACCATGTGTAGCCAGCGGCCAGTGTGAGCGGCCCTCAAGCCGCCGTGAGCGGCCAGCCAGAAGCCAGTGACTGATCTGCCTCGCCCGGGAAGAGTGCAATGATGGTGCCAACTTGGGCCAGTGAAGCAACGCCCTCCACAACTAGACTGAAGAACAAAATGACAGCAACTTGTCTGTTACCCTTCCCCCAATTCCCCAGTGCTGTTCCCATCCCCCCAATTCCTCAATAAAAATCTTTAAAAAAAAACACAGCGGAGAAAAAGCATTTATCTCCTCAACAGGAAAAGATTGCAAGGGTGAGTACTGATGACAGAACTTGGGCATTAATTCAAGCATTAAGAACAACTGACCCAAACAAAGCTCTGCATTAAGAGGGTTGAAAAATTGACTTTCCCTCTTCAAGAATTCCCTAAGGGAAAAGGAGTGGCTGCTAAAGAAAGAATTGGTCTATATTTATTGTGACTGAGACAAATTAAAGGGTGACATTCTTTGGGCAGCAGTTAGAGAAATTTTGGCCTTGATTGGCTGCATGAATCCAGTGAAAAGAAGGGGATTTCTCATTCAAACAACTGATGGTGGAGGAAAAAAGGCTGTGGTTGGTCTTCTGACACTGCGAAAAGTAGTTGGCCCGACTCAAAAACCAGTTCATCAGCTCTTCAGCTGCATTTGTGGTGTACCCACAAGCGCCATATTAACTTTCTTGTTGGGATTGTTCCAAACGCACCTCTATGAATGTGGGGAATTTCATGGAAAATTGGGCTCAGTTGTGTTTTCACAAAATGTCATTGTTGGAACAGTAAGCAGGAGTTGGAGCCATGCATTTTAAGACAGTCAAACATGGGAAAATATTCTTAAGGGTGGACTAGGATACGCACTAATGACTGAAACAGCAGGAAATCCCACACATCCTAAGGTAGATGCAGCAAGAGCCATGGTAAACAGAAGGAAGATGCCAGCAGCTTTTATGTTCAGGAACTAGGGTCATTTTCCTGGAATCAACTCTCACTATTTGGGAGGCTGTTGTGTTAGGTTTACGGCTCCTAAACAAAACTTGCATAAAAGATTTTTCGTTCCAAAGATTTTATGACCAGACCTGGGACTGTCTCTCAAAGGGAGAGATCAGCAGCTAAGTCTTGGTGGGTAAGGAATTTATAGCTGAAGCTGGATACAGAAGCAAAAAAAAAGCAGTTAGTGAGTAAAAAGAGAAAAAACTTTAACAAACAGAGTTAACTTATCTTCTAGTTAGCCATAAAACTTGGCAAGTTTATTTTCTTCTAACGAACTATAAATCAGGACTTAATTATCTTTTTCTAACAACATACCTAACTTATCTTTTCCCTAGCAAGCAAGCCATAAAGCATTTAGTTTATCTTTTCCCTAACAAGCAAGCTATAAAGCATACCTAGCTTATCTTTTCCCATTCTCTTGACAAGATACTTTGTTAATTTTTGCTGAAGCAGAAGTTTCTTTCATTCCTCTGGGTGGGGGCCCTAGCCTAGGGTCTGGGCCTGGGTCCCTACAGTTGGTATAAAATATGGCAGAGCCCCACCTGCTGCTTCAGGCAGTGTGTGCATTGGGGAAATGATCTTCCTCAAGATGGAGGTTTGCTTCTGAATCACCCCTCAGCATTAGCAATGCATGACTGTAAATGTCTGGCCAGACGTCTCATTAGAATATGGGGAATATAATCAATAATGCTGTAAAGATTTGGTAGGGTATCTCATGGATGCTTGTCTTGTTAGAGAGACCACTTTATGGACGGTGTAGGTGCCTGACCACTGCAGTGTACACCTGAAGCTGCAGCTGAATAATATTGTATGTCAACTATAATTTTATATATATATATATATATATATATTATAGTTATATATAAATATAGTCACAGGATGTGGAGCACAGCATAGGAAATAGACTCAATGGAATTGTAACAGCTATATACGATATCAGAGGGGTAGTAGATTGGGGGAGAGGGGTTATAACTTTGTAAGGGGTGTAAATGTCTAACTATTACATTGTTTTGTACACCTGAACCTAAAAAAAAGAATGCACAGTATCCCTGGGCATGGGACGTTATGAGAGTGATGTGAGAAACACCATGACACACATAGCTTCAAAACCAAGCTGTCTGATGTTATCAACAGTGCCACAGATTCAGAAGTCCATATAATACTTGATAGTCTATTATTTCCTCTATTTTAGAGTCAATCCTGTAATGTTGAAAACGTTAAGCTAATTTCTTAATAAATTTACAGTACTTAGGTTTTCACTAGCTAGCTACATCCTACAATCCACATGCTGCCTTTTTCTGTAATAACATCTAAACAGATGTAGAAAAATGGAATTTTCTGTATCAAAGGACAATTACATTTGAAATATAAAAGAACCAGATACAGCTTTCTATTCAAAATTTGCTTGTTTCCACATTGTTTGGTTCAAAAACAGGTGAAGTTTGAATCAAGCACTTGTTCCCCCTGAAACTTCAAGATAAACTTTTCTAGATGCAGCTCTAGTTTTTTATTCACTGTTACAAAATCAATTATTTGAATTCATTGAGAAAATATTCCTACCATTAACGAAAGTGACTTATTGAAATTTAAGACAAAGAAGCTTAACTGGATCTGTGAATTCTCATGAGACAGGCAGCCCGCCCTTTGTCCTTCAGGGTCCTCTTCCCCCATCGAAACTTGATTCCCAAAGAGGTTTTGATAAACTTATTTGTCCAGCAATATAAAAGATGGTAAAAGCTTATGTACTATATTTTATAAGGGAGAAATAAAAGAATTTCCAATTGGGAGGTTTAAGTTCTCATCAGAATATTAGGGAAATATTATAGAAAACAAGGAGCTTTCTCCTTATTTTTGATATCATTAAAACCAAACTGCAAGTGAAAACTTTATTCAGTGGCCCTTCCAATCCGCAGTTCCCCACCTGCATTATGGATAATTATATGGATAGTTGACATTGTTTCAGGTTTATCTAAAGTCCTTAGGAACCATATCAGTCTCAAGCCTCTCTCCCTACCAGATAGCCACCAATTGACCTCACCTATAAAGACGCTTTCAAGTCCTACGTCAATGAACTCCCAGCCTAAGGTCCATGAAAGTGCTCCTATGAGACATCAGCATGTTCTTAACTTTCATAATGCATATCCAGAGGGTGCCAAAAAAATGTATACACATTTTGAGAAAGAAAGAAACTATTAAAATTTTAATGCTCAATATATGCCAATAACAAAAGATGAATACAAGTCACGTTTGACTTCTGCAATTACAAGAAGTGGTCAAAGTGGCTACCATCAGTGTCCAGACACTTTTGATTATGGTGAACTACTGCTTGAGCAACATTGACCAAAGTGTCCACTTGTATGCATTTTTTTGGCACCGCCAGTATATCAAGTAAAATATCCAGACTTAGAAATGATCAACTATTCCTACCCTGATTTTTGTGTAGAAATGCTATGAGTGAGCCTAACAGTAATTTAATTTTCTTTTTTTTAGTTTAGGTAAATTTTGCATAGAGTAAAATGCAACAATCTTAAATATATAATTCAATGAGTTTTGACAAGTGCATTAACCATGGAACACTCGTCTCTATCAAGCTATAGATTATAGGTGATTTCTATAAGCTTAGAAATTCCCTCAAATTTCTTTGCAGCTGATTCTGCCAATCCCATTCCTCACCCCAAGGCAACAGTTTTGATGCTCTGCAATGTCATGCAAATGAATAATACAAGACGTATTCTTTTGTCTTAACTTCTTTATCTCAGTATAATGTCTATCTGTGAGATTCAACCACACTGTGGTGTACAGTAGTTTATTGCTTTTTAATGTTAAGCAGTATTTGATCATATGAAGATATTATAATTTGCTTATCCATTCATTAACTGATAGACATTTATATTGTTTCTTTGTTTCTTTTTTTTTTTTTTTTGCTATTATGAATGAGGCTGTAATGAATATTCTTACCTAGGTCTTTTTGTGAATATATGTTTTCATTTCTCTTGGGTAAATACTTAATAAGGAAATTATGGATCACCAGGTTAAATCTAGACTTTTTAAAAGGCGGAAAGCATCTGACCCAAAGGTTTTTGTTTTATCAGATGTCCACTGTTCACTCTCAACAAGAAGACCCAAACAAACCCTACTGGATTTTGAGGTTGGTCACTGAATACCATGAAGCAGACTTTTTTGAAGTGAAAAAAGATACAGAACGAGCAGATGAAATCCGAGCCATGAAGCAAGCCTGGGAGACGACGGAGCCAGGAAGAGCCATCAAGGTCGCCTGAATTTGCAAAGCTGTTCTTTTCCTTCTCATTCCTAGGCATGGTCGGAAGGAAGAGGCATGTTGGTGAAACCACATAGTCTTCCCCTTAGGAATGGTATCTAGAATTTACTCCAACGTTGACTAATGAGCTGTTAAGACCACCTTTGGATACACTGTGAAATATTACCCTTCTGATACCTAGATGACTTACAAAAGCAAAGCACATAATGGTGCCACTTATTGGCCCAAACTGCAGGGTACCTCATTCTTTCACATAGTCTGGACTTGACAGTGTTTGTCCCAAGGAAGAAAGCATAAAATGTTTTATATGTACTTTGAACACCCTTAGGTAGATAAAAAGCATGTGCCGGCCCTTGTATATACACACCTCATGTCTCCCTCACCCAGTATTTTATATAAGAATCATTACCGTAGTGAAACATTATTATTTATAGGTGTTTCATGTCCAAACTCAGAGCTTTTGAGGCTGATGAAAAACAGTTCAGGAGCCATGGAATCTAAGTGTACTTATTTTAGGACTGCTTTTTCATTAGTTCTCCAAAATATGTAACTCAAAATCATGGATGGTTCAGAATTTGAGTTTATTTGATAATTAGTTAGAGCTGTTCTGGTTCAAACTGTCTTATTCATTCTCATTTCCCTGGTTTTGTTTTTGTTTTTGTTTTGTTTTGTTTTTGAGTACTATTAAGATGTTGTTGCCTGTACTGGTTGTTGATCATGTTTGTTCTCTAGGCTTCTCAAGCTCGTCTGCGTTACCTCAGCCGTTTCATTAAGAGAACCCCAGACGCCGAGAGTGTGCCTGTGCCTGGGTTAGAAAGCCAAATGAGAGCAGAGGATGAAGGTCAGTCAACCCTGCTCCAGCTGCCTCAGGGCACAGAGCTGTTACCTGAACCTCTGAAAGGATAGTCAGCTAGCCATGCTGGGTAACAACAAAACATTTCAGAATCTGTTTTCCTACAGGATTGTAAAAAGTCACACACAATCCTATAAGAAAACAGATGCTGACATTTTTCGTTTAGCAGATGTTTTACAGTTTCCCCAAGTAGATAAGATTTTCCTCAATTAAGAAAAAAATTAAACCAGAAATAAGGGTGCAACCTGGTTAGAAGGTAGCAGTACGCGAACTTGAAGACAGGCCGGGCCTCCTACTACAAATCTGGCACCTTTCTAATAACAATAACAATAAATAATGACAATAAGAATCATAGCACTAAAGCTAACTATTTTTATTGAGTGATTGCCTTGGGCCTGGAACTGTGAAATACTAATTATTTTATTTAATACTCACACCAACCCACTGATATTTAATGTTATTTTTAACTTACCAATAAGGACAAAGGCCCAGAGTAATTTGCTCAGTAATTTGTTAAGTTCATGAGATAGCCAGGGTCAGAGCTAGCGAGCATGCAGACAGAGCTCTCCATCACCCCACCATCCGTCACCACACTGGGCTGGCCAGGTTGGCTGAAGATGTTCACATCGCAAAACATGCTTTCCTACTTTTACATCTTCAGGAGTATAATTCAGTCATTGTTATAAAAATAATGTCCCTTAACTTTTCATATAAACAGTATGGACAACACATTGCGCCTTAATCCTGCCATCCTGGGGATGCGCCCTGTTCAAAGTGCTTTATGTTTATGATCTCACTTCGACCTACAGCAACTATCAAGTAGACGTTACCATTTCCATTTTACAGAAAAAGAGACTTAAACTCAGAGTCACCTTATTTTTTCTAAGTCACACTTCTAAAAGGTAACAACAGTGGGATTTAATATATTTCTATCTCCTAAGGTACTCACTCCTCTAACTGAGAGAGTTAATATAATGTTAGGAATACAAAGGTGAATAAAATACAGTTCTTGTCCTTTAAGCTCTAGATTTGATTATTTTTAAAAATATATTGTTACGTGTAAGAGAAAAATGAATGCACTGGACATTTATTTAAAAAGTCAGGAAGACTTTATTCAAGACTATTGCAATATGAGTCAAGACTTGCTGCAATCAGAGAGAGAGATTGAACTCAACTCTGAATACAACAAGGACCAGTGGGGATTTATAGCCAACAGGCAGGGAGTGGAGGGAAAGGAACTCAGAGCAACTTGGCTAAGGAAGAGGAACTTGATTAAATATCAAGAGTATGGAAAGAGGAGCTTGATTGGGTATCAAGGGTGGAGGAATATCTTAGATAAATTGGTTTAGCAGGATCCTTTGCTAACACTGGGATTCTTCCTCAGCCAAGGACAAGACCTAGTGGAGCACAGTGCTCAGAGGAGCCTGACCCCGTCATACAACATACATGCAATTAAGTCACAATCTTAATTCTACACTTGAGGAATTTTCACATATGTGTACACTCAGGAGGCACCATTCAAATCAAGCAAGGTATAAACACTTAATACATCCCCAAAGTCTTCCTCATTCCTCTTCCCAGCCATTTCCTTCCTCAAGATAAACACTAGTCTGACCTCTATCACCATGAATTAATTCTGCCTGTTCCTGAACTTTATATACGTGTATTTGAACTCTTACGATATATGTACCCTATATGTCTTGATGTTTAGCTGTTCTATTTCTTCTTATGTCAAGATTTGTAAGTTGTGTTTTAAAAGAAATTTGTATATTTTATCTAAGTTAAAATTCCTGGAAAACTTTTTTATTTTAACCTTTTTTTTTTTTTTCCAATCTCAGTCTTGCTCTAGAGGCGTGTCAATTTTAATATATTTTTAAAGAACCAACTTTGATGACTGAATGTCTGCCTTTTATTTCAACATTTCTCCATGCTCTTAAGCACTAAACTTTTACTGCCTTTCATTTAAAGCAGAATATAACACCAGTTACATCTGCAATTGATAAACAGAGGGAAAATGTCTGCATAATGTGGAAGTTGTGGTAGGTTTTAGAGTTTTTCCTACGCACAGGGACCTGGAACAATGGGAGTAGAATTGTAGTGTTAAGGAAAAACCTTCCAGCTTTGCAACTTCCCAAGCAAGATCCCTTTTCATCTCTATTTTAAAACAATTTTTGATAAGGGGCTGCATGCAGGGCTCCCTCTCCAGAGAAGAGAGTCCCATCCGTGCCCAGCTCTCGTGTGGGGCAGGTTACATTTCACCAAGGCCACACTAACAGCAGCCCCAATGGTTCAGATGTCCCATTTCCATTTGTAATATCTCACCTCCAAAAAGCCTCTGTTTTTACGTGACCTTTTCATATCCTGAGACAACTTCCAGGCCCACTGGCTGCCTGTGTGGGCTACATCTTCTTCTGAGGTACCAGGGATTGATTTTGCTAGTTCTCTGGTTAGAAGTTGCAAAGCTTTCAAGTCTTCTGCTACAAATCTGCGCTCTCATAGCCCTGTTCCTTTTTGAATGTGATTTCATAGAATGCAAGTTCCTTTTTTAGTAACGCACGTGCCATGTCGTAACAGAAATACCTACAAGTTCCATGAAAGAGCCAGAAACAAAGAGCCGTGGGAGTTTAGAGAGCAGAGATGCAACACAATCAGGGACTGTGCTATGGAAGAAATGGCAAATGACCAAGAGCTTAAAGGATCTGGCAAAATCGATAAGCAGTGAAAGTGGAGGAGCAAGCCAGGCAGGCAAGGAGGAGCAGATCATGCGGAAGGAAAATATCAGTAAGTGTCAGGCTTGTCAGTAAGATAAATACATATTTTGAAATAAAAATTCTGAAAAAAAAACACTTCAACCTATGCTATGTCAAATGGTTACACAATAGAAAAATATGGGTTTGGGATTCATAGGTCTTCATTTGGCTTATCACAGTTGATCATCTGATTATTAAATACTTATCCTAAAGATAAAAATGGGCATTTTTAAAAAAAGTATAAGTTACAATTTTGTATAGTTTGTTGTGTCTACAAATACTACTAGTAAAATTGCAGTGATCACATACACAGTTGTCACTAAACACAGATCCTTTTTGTTTCATCTATAATATGCTACATGATAGATTTTTTTTTCTCCTTCATAACAAGTTTTAAATATTTGGTTTCTAAAACGTTGGAAGAGAGCAATTTTCAATGGTGTACAAACCACACCAACTTGGTTCATTTTTGTATAATATGGATTCGTATTTGTTCACTAAAACGAACCTAAGTTCTTGATGGAAGGTGTTACAGAGAAATGTCTTTCCACTGGAAGGACAAGGACTCCTCTCTTAGACTTCCTGTGGCTAAAGGGGTTTAGTGTCTTATCTGATTGATACATCTGGAGAGAGTAAATTGGGCTACCCATGGGGAGCCCGAGTCCACTGCTCATTCCTGAGTTGGAAGCACTACATATGAGTTAGGGGCGCTGACCCAGTCGGCCAGTTCTAGGGTTCTGTGATCATGGCCCATTGACTCTCACATCAGGCTGCATCCTCCAATTACACCTGCATCAATAGTCAAATCTTACTTTTTTTTTCTCTCTCTCTCTACTCGTTCAGAACCCAGGCAGGAGAAAAGAATATTTCAGAAGGCAGCATCTTCAGAAATGCCAACAATGTTTTTTTTTCAAAATTGCTAAACCAGTCTGAGAGTTTTAAAAATAAATACTGTTTATGGTTAAAACATGCCCTTGAGCGATTTCCACTGTGAAGTGAAAAACTCAAAGGGCTCTTTCATTATGCTACTAAGAGATTCTGATATTGAACCAGTATTTTGAAAGTAAGCACTCATTTAATAGATAATGCACATGACAGCACTAAAATTTATTAGAATAATATCTAGCATTTTATGTTAATATTTACTTGGTAGAGTGCTTTGTCATATTTATCTCAGTTCAGCCTCTGTGGGCTAGATAAAGCACATACTATATTTCTGCCTCAAAAACTGAAGGAATTGATAAATTAAGACTCATCCAAGGGCAGGAAGCTGATAGAGTTTGGAAGGAATCAGTACTCAAACAACAGTTCTTTTTATTCCACTTGGTATGATCTCTAATCAAACACAAATTTTTTTCCACACTTAAAGATCTATCAAATGAAAATATAATTAAATTCTGATATCAAGTTGATTATTTACATGCTAACAAGGTAATAATTAATTGAGAAAATAATGTAATCACACCAGCCTTGGATCGTGTGTCCCTGCAGTCATAGTGTGTAGATTTCAATTTTTTCCCAAAAGCCAGTGTTGTGAGGGACTACAGCGTGTGCTTCAGTGTCAGCTCTCCTGCTTCTTATTTCTTCCCAATTGTGGACACTGGAGTCTTCAGACATTTGCCTTTAAGTTTGCATAAGTGTAAAAGAGTGTACTTCTGGGTGGGGTGGAAGGGCCAGCAAACAAGGAGGAAAGCTAAGAGGAAGCAGGCATGGAGGCCCTAAGCCACAGCAGCCGGTCCTCAAGCAAAAATTTCTTCAAAACATTCTTACATATGTTTTATTATAATTTTAATTTAAGATAAAATGGTAAGTTTAATAACACATCATCAAGAAAAATTTGCTCCCTCACCCTCCATTAAGAGGTATGGCTGCAGTACATCCTATATCTCTGCAACATTGCCAGGTATTGCAGGTACTGTCATTGTAGAAAGAATCCTGCTTGAGAACTATGGGTTTGGGTGTCAGCTGTTATCTGGAACTTCGTGTATTGATCCCACTTCTGCTGTTGATGCACCACAGATCGGCCCTCACTCCTCAGAAGCATTGTCCATGAGATGATAGACTCTGTGAGAGCTTTATGGGGTGTGGCCTCTACATTCCCATAGATATTTATGACTTCCTCCAAATTACCTTATTCTTGCTACCTCCTATTTCCATATAGTAGGTATCTTACAACAACTTCCCTTATAATGTCAGGTGTCATGTAAACAACATCATTATGGATTTCACTTCTAAGCATTCTCCCCTCAACACCAAGCCATCATCAAGTTAAATGTCTGAACATTGTGTTCAACTTTCCTTGTATTTCTGGGGGCCTCAAGAAAGTGCTTCTTCCAGAGGTTGGAGATGATCACTGTCTTTATTCCCATTTTTTTTCCCCAGGCTTCACCATTCATCAAACTACTTTTTCACCATGTCTTTTAAACAGTGATTCTCATACTATACATGATGAAGGAAGTTTTCTCTCCTGCTCTGTTACAAACTAAAACTTGGTAGAATATAATAAAATGACCCAGTGATGATCAATTGTTATAAAAAATATTTCTAAATACATACTCTCACTTTGAGAATGTACCCCATAGGGAGCCAGTTTGGAGATAGAAGATGGCACGTATGTGTGTGCGTGTGCATGTACACATGCACACACACATGCACACACACACACACTTTGAGCTGCACTATTCTAGAGGTCTGAGACCATCATACTACAGTCACACCCTATTTTGATACAACAGAGTTTTGTAGATGAATGTGAAGATTGACCTTCTCTGCCCCTTTCCCACCCTCACTGTTTAAACATACATCATTTGGTGGGATATAAGAAAATGCAAACATCTAATTAATTAGAAAATATTTTCATTCCAGTCAAAGTCAGCAGAGTTGGTGTCATATAGAAATAATTATAGTTTGAAATGCCAAAAATATACCCAACATAAGTAGATATGTTCATAAGAAAAGCAAATGAACTTTAGAAATATAAGAATCCATAGTAACATGATGAAAAAAGAAAAGTTATTGACCACTGGTTTCTGAAGAGTCATATTATAAAATGCTAATACTTCAGGAATGTTTTACCTAAGGTTATATTTTTGTTGTCACAAAAGGAGAGGGGTAAGGTCTGAATTTTCAAAGGGGAATGGAGATAAGATGCATTCAGAAAAAAAAAAAAGGACGACTGTATATGTGAAGCTTCTTTTACATCAACCTAATGGTAACCACACACACACACACAAAGAAATCCAGAACTGAGACACATAATGTTAAAAAAAAAGAGAGAGAGAGAGAGGAGGCAGAGGGAAAAAAATCACAGAATACTACCAAACTAAAATTACATAGAAAATACAAGGGAAAAGAAACAATAGAGACACAGAGCCACCAGAAAATAAAATATAAAATGGCTATAGGAAATCCTCGTACATCAGTAATCACCCTAAATGTAAATGGACTGAACTCACCAATAAAAAGGCACAGAACAGTAGACTGAATCAAAACAAAACAAAAACCATATGCTGCATTCAGGAGACATAGCTTAGCTGCAAAGATAAATATAGACTCAAAGTGAAAGGGTAGAAAATGATAATCCAAGCAAATGGCATCCAGAGAATAACATTTGTAGTCATACTTATATCTGACAAATACATTTCAAGATAAAAAGTTAAGACAAAGATGTATATTTTATAATGATAAAGGGGACAATAAATCAAGAAGATATAGCACTTACCAATATATATGCACCCAATCAGGGAGCACCTAAATATATAAAGTAACTAGTAACATAACTGAAGAGAAAAACTGACAAAGGCACAATGAGGGTAGGGGACCTAAATACTTAATTGTCAGCTATGGATCGATCACCCAAATAGAAAATCAATAAGGAAGTATCAGCCTTAAGTGACACATTAGACAAAATGGACATAATCAACATACAAAGATCTTTTCATCCCATAACACCAGATTATATATTCTTTTCCAGTGCACATGTAACATTCTCAAGGATAAACCATATGTTGGGACACAAAACTAGCCTCAACAAATTTAATAAGATTGAAATCACACCAAGCATATTCTTCGACCACAATACTTTGAAATTGGAAAAAGACAGGAAAAAACCACACATGTGGAGATTTAAAAAAAAACAAGAAATGGGCCGGCCGAGTGGCTCAGTTGGTTAAGAGCTTGCTCAAGAGTGTGAGCTCTGAGCAACAGCGGTTTGATGCCCGCCCCAAGCTGAGCTGCCGCTGAGCTGCCAACAGGTGGCAGGATGGCTCAGCTAAAAAAAAAAAAAAAACAAAGCAAAGCAAAGCAAAACAAAACAAAAAAACATGCTACTAAAGAATGACTGGGTCAAAAAAGAAATAAAAGGAGAGATCAAAAGATACATAGAGACAAATGAGAATGAAAAAATGACATATCAAAACCTTTGAAACCAGCAAAAGTGGTAATAAGAGGGAAGTTTATATCATTACAGGCCTATCTCAAGAAACAAGATAAATCCCAAATAAATAACCTAATGTTACCTCTAGAAAAAAGAGAACAAATAAAACCAAAGGTCAGCAGAATTTAGGAAATAACAAATATTAAGGCAGTATTAAATGAAATAAAGAACAAAAAGACAATAGAAAAAATAATACAACAAAGAGCTGGTACTTTGAAAAGATTAGTAAAATTGACAAACTTCTGGCTAGACTCACTAAGGAAAAAACAGAAGAGACTCAAACAGAATCAGAAATGAAAGATGAAAACTTACAATAGACACCACAGAAATACAAAGGATCATACAAGAATACTATGAAAGACAATCTGCCACCAAATTCAACAAACTAGAGGAAATGGACGAGTTTTTAGAAATATGTAACCTTCCTAGACTGAATCACAAATAACTGGAAACTCTAAATAGACTGATCACCAGTAAGCAAATTGAAACAATCATCAAAAACCTCCCAAAAAGTAAAAATTCAATACCATATGACTTAATAAGGAATTCTACTAAACATTTGAAGACAATTTAATACCTATATTTCTCAAGCCCTTCCAAAAAATTGAATAAGAGGCAATACTTCCTAGCTCATTTTGTGAGGTCAACATTACCCTGATACCAAACCCTGGCAAGGATAACATGAAATAAAATTATAGAACAATATCTCTGATGAATATAGATGCAAAAATCCTAAACAAAATACTAGCAGATCAAATACAATAATACAACAATAACAAAACAAAGAACTCAATTACAAAATGGGCAGAAGACCTGAAGACACTTCTTCCAAGAAGACATACAAATGGCCAACAGATATATGAAAAAATTCTTAACTTTACTAGCTATTAGGGAAATTCAACTCAAAAACGCAATGAGATACCACCTCACACTGTCAGAATGGCTGTCATCAACAAGCAAAGTAAAAACAGGTGTTGGAGAGGTTGAGGAGAAAAGGGAACCCTCATACACTGCAGGTGGGAATGTAAATTGGTACAGCCATTATGGAAAACAGTATGGAGGTTCCTAAATTAAGACTATAGTTCCATATGACCCAGCAACCCCTCTTCTGGGTGCCTAACCCCCAAATTTGAAAATATGTATTTGTAAAGATATATGTACCCCTATGTTCACTGCAACATTATTCAGGTTAGCCAAGACATGGAAACAACAGAAGTGTCCTTCGATAGATGACTGGATAAAAATATGGTACCTATACACAATGGAATACTGCTCAGCCATCAGAAAAGATGTAATACTGCTATTTGTAATAACATGGATGGATCTTGAAAGCATCATGCTAAGAGAAATAAGTCAGATGGAAAAAGTAGAAAACATATAATTTCACTCATATGTGGGATATAAAACTGAAAGCAATAAACAAAGAAACAAGAACTCATAGACACAACAACAATATGGTGGTTACCAGAGGAAAAGGAGGGTGTGGGGGTAGACAAGGGTAAAGGGGGTTAAATACATGGTGATGGAAGGAGATTTGACTTGGGGCTGTGAACACACAGTGCGATATACAGATGATGTATTATATAATTATTCACTTGAAACCTATATAATTTTACTAAGAAATGTCACTCCAATAAATTTAATTAAATTTAACAGGGAAGAGAGAGAGAGAGAGAGAGAGAGAGAGAGAGAGAGAGAGAGAGAAATCACACACAGAAGACAAATTGAAAAAAAATTGATTAAAAATTTCATAATTCTGAAGGCGTACAACTAAATGAAAAACATTTATTAAAAATAAGAACAACAAAAATAAGTGCTCTTAATTGTATTTGTTTTCTATTGCTGCTGTAACAAATAACTGCAAACTTAGTGACAACACAAATTAATTTCTTACAGTTCTGGAGGGCACAAATTCTAAAATTAAGGTGTTGGCAGGACTGATTTCCTCCTGGAGTTTCTAGGGGAGAATCTGTTTCCATTTTCAGATTCTACAGCCATCTGATTCTCCTCATATTCAAGGCCAGCAGCATAACAATTTCAAATTTCTGTCTCTCCTTTCCTCCCTCCATCTCTCTCTCCTCTGTCTCCATCACCTCATTTCCTTCTTGGATTCTTTTTCTTCTACCTGCCTCTCTTTTTCCCTTACTAGTGTTCCTGTGATTCTGTTGAGCTCAGCTAAATAATTCAGGATCATGTTTCTATCTCTAGATCCTTAACTTAATTGCACTTGCAAAGGTCTTGTAAGGTAAGATATTCATAAGTTTCAAAGATTAGGGCATAGACATCTTTGGAGGTTCATTAGGCTGTCTACCACAATTGGTAGGAACAGCAGGGATCTATAGCATATTAATGTGGAGTTCTCTCACCCCACGGTCTGTATCATGGTAACCATGATGTCTAGCCACCCTGCTGCCAATGCTAGCAGAGGTTTACCTATTTTGAGGCTCCATGGGAAAGTTCTCTGCCCATTGGCATTGTTGCAAGTTATAGTGAACTTGGTGGCAAACAATTGGGAATGGCCAACATCACAGTTGCATGACCATGATACTGTCAGGGCAAGCTGCAAATCAGTCAAAAATTGAACAGGTTAGATCTGTGTAACAAAACAACCATGGTGATTTCAACGTAAGATCAAGAACAAGGCAGGATGTCCACTTTAACCACTTATATGCAACATTTTAAAGGAGGCTCTACCAGTTGAATCAAGAAAAAGAAATAAAACACATACATATAAAAAAGGGAGATAAAATTCGATTCTCAGACAAATTGATCCAGTATACTGAAAATCCTAAGGGATCAGGGAAACAGAACCAAGCATATCATCTAGAACTAATAAGTGAGTTCATTCAGATGACGTGATACAAGATTAACACACAAAAAATACTTATACATACTATCAGTGAGCAATCAAAAACTAAAATTAAGAAGACAGTTTTATTCACAATATCATCATTAATAAATGTATAGAAATAAACAAAAACATAAGTCTTGTATACCGAAAACTACAAATCATCACTGAAGCAAAATTTAAAAGGTCTAAGTAAACAGAGAGGTAGTCCAAGCTTTGGACGAGAAGACTCAATATAGTAAGATAGTAATTCTCTCCAAATTGATACATAAATTTAGTGTAATCCCTAGAATTTGGTAAGCTGATCCCAAAATTTATACAGAAATGCAAAAGATCTAAAATGACCAAAATAATGTTGGTAAAGAACCAGGGGGAGGATTTTTACTTTGTGATTTTAGTGTTTATTATGAAACTACCAACAATCAAAACACTATGATTTGATAATTTGTTTAAAGGTTGAACACAATTTTACCATTCCTACCTACACGAGATGTCCAAGAAAGGCAAATCTATAGAAACATAAAGTAGATTGATGGTTGCCTGCAGCTTGTGGTAAATATGGAGAATTACTATAAAACGCCACAAAAGGTTTTATTTGGATAATGGAAATGTTTTGAAACCGGATTTTGGTGCTAGGATTTTGCAGAACTCTGTAAATTTACTAAAATGTACTGGATTATGCTTTTTAAATGGGAAATTTTATGGTATGTGAATTATGCTTTAGTAATTTTTAAAAAAGATTAAATGGTCCAAAAAGATGGAATATTATTCAACCATAAAAAAGAATGGCATTTTTAAATGCCAAATTTTAAAATTTTGCCATTTTTAATAACATGAATGGACTTAAAGGGTATTATGCTAAGTGAAATAATTCAGACAAAGACAAATATTGTATGATTTCACTTATATGTGGAATCTAAAAAACAAAACAAATGAACAAACAAAACAGAAATAGAATCATAGCTACAGAGAACAAACTAATGGCTACCAGAGGGGATGGGGGTAGAGGGATCGGTGAAAAAGGTGAAGGGATTAAGAGGTACAAACTTCTAGTTATAAAATGGCCAACAGATATGTAATGTACAGCACAGGGAATACAGTAAAAAATATCATAATGATGTATGATGACAGATTGTTACTAGGCTTATTGTGATCACTTCATAAGGTATATAAATGTTGAGTTACTAGGTTGTACACCTGAAATGAATATAATATCGTATGTCAAATATAATTTAAACATAAATCATTTTTAAAATGCTCTGGAAAGGCGGAATGGTTATATGGGCCTATGGAATAAAAAGCTTCTGCTCATTTGATCTTCAGTGTTGATCTATTATATATTGCCTACTCCACTGGACTAAACATTTCTTAAAGGTAGCATATTGTATCTTGAACATTTTTATATCGCACCCCGTAGTGCTTAGTATAGCTTTCACACATAGACCAAGCTCTTTCAATATTGGGTCTTTTAACTTGTTTATAATGAAATTTTGTAACTTAAAGAATGACTTTTTTAAATTTCCACCTTCGTTTATCCATAATTAGAGTAACACTTTGTTACTCTTCTTATAGACTATTCACTTGGTCATCTTCTTCATTTAACTAAAGGATAAATATAAAATAGAATTATATTTTATAGTCATATTCTATCACTTTAAAATCATATTAAATAAGGCAAGTCCAATCAATGGTTGTTTTATAACATAAAATATTGTTTTGAATTAAAATGCGATATCAGTCATTTAGTTAATCATTGTTGATTCTTTTTTGAAAGCTAAGGACTTTTTTTTTTTTTTTAAAACAGGGTTTCGTTCACGATCCCCAACAATTTTGGAAATGTCTCCACAACTTATTCGAAAAGCGTTAGAATGTGTAGACTTAACTCAATACATGAGGTAAGTTTTAATAAACATGATTAATGCAGACATCTGTGTGCATAGAATTTTGCATACATTGTGAATAGGCAGTTGCTAAACTGAAAATTTGAAATGACCGGCTTAATATATTTTCGGTATATTTAAATTTTTAGAAGTACATGATTTCACAAATCAAATTTAGCAAATGCTTTATTAAGTCAATCATAAAAATATTTAAATATTTTCTGTAAAGATTTCATCTGTAGCCTGATTAAGGTAAGTTGAGTTACAGAAAATTCCCACTGGAACTGCTGCCATTATTTAATTAGATTCAATTTTCTTAAGAACTAGACAAGAAGATTAATAGAGAGATACACAAGCATATTTATAAGTTTGGAAACATTTTCAAAACTATGTAGCCACATAAATTATAAAGGAAGACCTACAAAATAGGCTCATAGTTTCGAACACCAATTCCGCAAACATCACATCAAATGTTGCATCTAACTTTACTGATATTTTCCTAAAATAATTTTCTAAAATACCAGTGATTCATTCAATGGATGAAGCATAGGCCATCTAAAGATAATGGTTTGTTCCTTCTATTCCTGACATTTTACTTGATTTAGATCACCTCACTGTTGATATGATTTTAAATTATTTGAGTTCTAACGTACATTCCAGAGTTCCCAAATGATTTATGTTCTCTTTTGATGTTTCTGTGTCAAGGCAAACAAACTCTGAGGCTCTGCTGCTCACGGAGGAACTGAATCACCAGCAGTCAATGCAAAAGGCAGAGGAGGTTCATCAGTTTCGACAGTGTAGGGCCAGGCTCCTTAGCATTCGAGGCATTGACCAAGAAGAACGGTTTAAATTAAAGGATCGAGTCCTGGAGATGTACGGGGAGATGCGGGTGAGTCTAAAAATGCATACATGAATCACAGTTGACAAATTCTTTCGTAATATTAAAAAGCTATTTGTAGAATCCTATAGTACCCGGGTAGAAAGAAGCCTTGAAAAACATTTGGTTCCCAACTTCTCAGAGAAGATGGCAAATTGATTATATACATAAAATTTCACTTACTCCCTAAAATCCCTCTAAAAAGGAGTATCCGGAATCTATCCACAAAATGGGAAGAATGGGAGTGAAGACAACAACAAATATTTGTGACATTGGAAAAGAGCTGGATGAAGATCGCATGAACAGACTTGAGGCAGCCAAAACCTAAGCTGCCAGTAGAAAACTCTTAAGAAATCAACCCAGTTTGCGCCACAGAACCCCCAAAAGGCTCAGAAATCAGTGGCACTGGCAATGTTAAGAAGTGAAGTGAAGTGGGAGGAAGATAAAATCTTTGGGTTTTTTGGTTTAAAGCTATTTAAGAAACAGTAGGAAGAGCAGATCAGCACCTCAACTTTTTGTAGGCTAGTGACTGTCATGCCTCCACCCAGGAGAAGACTAGAGGTGCTTTAGTTAGACATGGTTCAAAAACAAACAAAAAACGATTTCTGGAGTGTGAAAGCCTAATTAAAAATGGAAGTATCTTACTAGAAATGGGGAAATTCAATAAATATATATGGGTGACTTCCACTATAGAGAGTGAGGATCTTATTTTTCTCCCTCTTGCCTAACACACACACACACACACACACACACACACACACACACACACACACACACACACACATACCTACTGCCAAAGACACTGATGGCAGCAGGACTTCCTAAATATGTTTGCCACAGGGATATTAGGTTTTCCATGCAATTTCCAGCGCAGGGTTGGCCGATCTAAGGAGTATGCCTGTTTGACATAGTTTCTTGTTTGTCTACTGGGTACCTCAAACTGAACCTCTCCAAATCCAAATTCTAAAAGTCTTGCCCTCCCTCTCATTCAGCACAAACATGTCACTCCACCAACATTCTCAGTCCCAGTCAAGGGCAATGGTGCTTTTTCAGCTGCTCAGAGCAGAGACCTTGGCAACATGATTGACTTTTCTCACTCCCCACACCTAATCCATCATCAAAATTTGTCAGCATTATCTTGAAAAATATCCAAAGTGGAAGCACTTTTCATTTCCTCTAGCCCTACGACTTGAGTCCAAACCGCCACTGTTTTCCATCTAGAATGCTGCCCCAGCCCCCTGACTGATGTCACTGCTTCCATCTTTGCTCTTCTGCAATGTAGTTAGTCTCTGCTCAGCAGCCGAAAGGATTGTATCAGTCAGGACACACTTTTTATGCTGTGGTAACAAACAGCCTCAATGTCTCAGTGGCTTAAGACAGGGGTTGGCAAACTTGTTTTCTAGATAATAAATATTTTTGCCTTTGCAGGCCATATATTGTAGCTATTTATCTCTTCCATTATTAACACAAAAATCAGTCAAATATAACCCCTAAGTGTGTTCCAATAAAACTTTATTCAGAAAAACAGGCAGTGAGCCAAATTTGTTCCACAGGCTTTAGTTTACCAAACCCTGGATTAAAACAATAAAAGAGTATTTCTCCTTCTAGCTACATGTTCAGTGATGTTCAGTAGAGGGTCTGTCTCATTGCATTTATATTTTGTATTCACACCTCATTGGCCAAAGCAAGCCATATGGTCACATATGCCTTTGATGAAAGAATCAACCTTGATTTTAAATTTCTAGCATCAATAACTGGGACAATAACTTTCTGTAGTTTAAGCCACCCAGTTTGTGGCACTTTGTTACAGCAGTCCTAGCAGACTAATACAGAGTGCAATGCTACCGCGTGCCTGGAGGGAAACTGGAAATATTTTATGAATTGCACTTTTGGTTACCATAGTATATCTATAAAATGGGGAGTGAGACCGTTTGACTCCTGGAATGGCTTCATATTTCACAAAGTCTTTATTATCACATCTAGAGCTCTACTTATTCTAGCCCCCACTTTCCTCCCTCATCTTTTTTCCTATCATTCTTCCAGCTTTGCTTCTTTTCTCCAAACTGACTGCCTTTTCACGAGTGGCCAGGCATGTTCCCACCTCTAGGCATTGGACCTTGTTTCTACCTCTTCCTTGAATAGCTTTCCCTCAGAAAGCCTAATGATTTCCAGCTTCACTTTATGAGATCTCTTAGATACTCTCACTCCATTATAGAAATCTTCTCTAGAAACCAGTTCAAAATCAGTGCCCTTAAAAATGTGTATACCCATGCCTGGCCTTATTATTTTCTTCATTTATTGGTTTAACATGGATGTGTATGTATACAGAGAGTGTCAAAAATGTATACACATTTTAAGAAAGGAGAAAACTGTATTAAAATTGTAATACTCAATATATTACCAAATAGCAAAAGATTAATAGAAGCCACATTTGACTTCTGCAATTACAAGAGGTTCTCAAAGTGGTTATCATCAGCATAATTTTAATACAGTTTTTTCTTTCTTAAAATGTGTATGCCTTTTTTTTGGCTCCCTTTGTATGTGTGCATGCATTATACAGCGTATAATTCAGTAAGAATAGGACCAAAAAAATGACCTTGGATTTAGCTACATATAGGTCATTGGTGTCCTTGATATATACAGTTTTTTTGAAGTGGTAAAAATGAAAGCCAAGCTGACAATAACAAAGATAACCTATGGATTAGGTGATATTATTTGGAAGTTCTTCCAGTATAACTCAGATGTAGTTTGTCAGGGATAGAATACACATAGTTAACTAGTAATTTATTGAGCACAATTACTGTAAGAGACACACTGAGCTATATATTTATATATATTACGTGTGAACTCATTTAAAGCATGTAGTTGTTTTCCCAAAATTTCTGCCTATTTCTTTTCTCACCTTTTTCTTTATTTTTCTCAAACTAATGCTTTTATTTACCATTCCATTAAAATCTCATGTATCCTTTGTTGCTATCTCTTATTGTATGTATTGATAAACATTTGAGACCATCATGCAATTTTCATCTCTCTTCAGCAATTTCCCACTTGAATCTACTGACATAAGGAAAGTATAAGTGGCCTGCTTTTTTGTCCCCCCCACCCCTTTTTTTATTTTCCTGGGACCGTAAGTCTTTGTCATTGGAACTTAGTGGCTTGGGGTTTTGTTTCGGAATAGGACGCCTTAGATGAAGCCCGACAGAAGATCTTCACTATCCGGGAAGATTATAGAAACAAGTTGCTGGAAGCTGAGCGCCTAAGGTTGGAGGCTCTGGCTGCCGAGGAAGCGGCCACCCGGGCAGAGCCAGAAAAGAAGACCCTGGCTCCTGACAAAGAGAAAAAAAAGAAAGAAAAGAAAAAGTAACTAGGAGAGGCCCAATACTACCTTTCTTCTTCTGAAGAAGAATCTTTTTTTCATGTAGAACTTTGCCTGTTGATAAAAATAAGGTCTTGGCCAATTAGAAATAGAATTGTTCCTACCTTAGAAATAGTTTCTGCATTTTAATGTGAATTTGTTAGTTTTTCTCAGAAAGCTATCATTTGAATCCATTAGAGTTTACACTTTTCTAATTTCAATTTAAAAATGCCTCATAATATTTAGAATGTAATAAAATGCATATGTCTCACTGTGAATTGCTGCATTATTAATGTTAAAACAGGATTATAAATGAGCCAATAGAATTGCCTTTGAAAAATTCAATGATGAGAAAAATAGCTATTGTTCTTAGAGAAAATTTTGTCTCCAACTTTAAAAACTTTAAAATATTTTTAAAAATATGCTTCATGCTTGTGCTTTTTCTTTCTCCTCCCTTCTTTCCTTCTTTCCTTCTTTCCTTCCTTCCTTCCTTCCTTCCTTCCTTCCTTCACTGAATGTCAACAAATCTCCCTCATTGGGCAAGAACTATTGTGGGCTAAGCCCACCCAAAGTGTTAAAACTCTGAATCCTAACAATGAGTCAAGGTAACCCAGGCATTAGGAACGTGATCACAAACACATCTGTTGTCATGTGTGCCAGCATCATATTTTTGTAAGACTGAGAACATGTTCTTGTATGCTAGTTTTTAAAAAATACAATGAGTGGATTAACTGAGGCACATAGTACGAAATTGAATTTACCAAAAGCATACTTCCAAATCATGACTTCCTTAGATGAAAATTCCCATAGTATTCTTTAACCAACAAAGCTGTTTTACTTTGATAGGTGATCTTACTTTTCACATTCATTTAAATTTGTATTATTAGAAAATTTAATTCTTTATACATAAATATATAATTTTACTTAATTAAATATGCAAACACATGTATGTTTTCCTTTTACTATTTGTCCTCGCTTTCCTTCAGAGCCTTAAGATTTCCCAGTCTCCCAAAATAATACATGGTAACAACTTGGTATGAATGTTTCCATATTTTTCTCTTATATATACATTAATATTTTATATCATGGCTTATTTCACAAAATGTCATTTTATTATACATACTTCACTGGTTTTTTGTTTTTCTCACCAAATAATACAAAACCTGAGTCAAAAGTAATTCATTGTTTTTAATTGTTATATAGTATTCCATGTTAGAAATATATTGTAATTTTTTCAGCTAATTCTTCATTGATGAATACTTACTTTGTTTCTAGATTTTTGCCACACAAGCTACCTAGTTGAAAATGTGTGTGTGTGTGTGTGTGTGAGAGCGAGAGAAAGAGAGAGATAGAGAGAGAAAGAGAGAGAGAGAGAGAGAGAGAGAGAGAGAGAGAGAGGGAATATTCAACTACTAACACTGGTATTACATATTTTCTTTAATTTAGATGAAATTCAGCTGCAAAAATCTGGTTTCTATATACATTATATACAGGTATCCTCACTTTCTGAAAGTTCAAGCTACACCAATTCTCTTTTTACAAAAAACTATATACATATAATAAAATATTACTCAGCCGTAAAAGAAGGAAACCTTCTCATTTGTAAAAAACATAAACCTGGAGGGCATTATGCTAAGTGAAATCAGCCCGATACATGAAAACAAATACTGCATGATGTCACTTATATGTGAAATCTAAAATTGTCAAATGCAGACTGATTTAAAGATGGCTTGTAATTGTGAGTCAAATATTTGGAGTGGGGCTGCCATTGGTGATACATTTTCCAAAATGAACAACCCTTGGTAAATTTTTAAAGATAACAATGTGTAGCCTACCCTTATTTTACACAATTGTTACATTTCAGAAACATTCAGTGAACTTAAAAACTGTGCAAAAATACTTCATTTTTACATATCTTACAGAGTTAGGTTCTTGAATTGTTAACTTGCTTTTAGACTCTATGAATGATGGGCCGTTCAAGTTGTATAGCATATAAGATCATTCTTTGTTGCATGTGACTCTTTCCAAAATCAGGGGCTGTCTAACATCCTTGGCTTTCAACCCCTAAACAGCAGTCATTCTCCTCCATTATTGGAACAACCCAAAATGCCCCCACACATTTCTTAGCTATTCTCTAGCAGTGTCACTATCCCCACTGAGATAATCTCCATATAGAAGAACAGTAAAGATTGCTGGGAAGCTAAAGATTATCTGTGGGTCATAGTTAATAAATAACTCTTTTAGAATACATAGCCATAGGAATACCCTCCATTGTGTTCACTGAGTTAACCAGGGTGTATCTATAAAGCATAGTGTATGGCCAACCACTCAGTTTCTTTTTCCTTAGTCTCCTACCATTTACCTCTTTACAACCCCTTCCCCAAGTATTTCAAGGACAACCCCTAATTTCACAGGGGCTCTTGTAAGGACAGAAAAAAACAGCTTTCCTCTTCTGCAGTCCCAGACCTACCTCTGAGTCAACAGTAATAATCCCGAGGGTGCAATTCTGGTGATAATAAAACATCATTATAAGAGCAATTCAATTCCTCAGTGCCTCCAACACCTCCACTGAAGAAAGGACTGTGGCAAAATCAAAGTGCCCATTAAAGTGTTTTTAACATAGGGAAGTCTTCAGTTAAATGAATCAGAAAATTGCTGACAACTTCAATAAACTTTGCCTTCTAGAAATCAAGTTTTCAAAACCAAGTCAACAAAAACATTGACTTCTAGTCTCAGAGCTTCCTGTTATTCATAGACTATTTGCACACATAAAAGAATGTTCCATAAGATGGTGGAGTAGATAAACACTGTGCCTGTATCCTTCTGTGAACACATTAAAATCACAACTAAATTATAGAACAATCAACCTGGAGGACCATATGAAGTCTACCCAGACAGAAGTCCTATAACTAAAAATATAAAGAAGAAGCCACATCGAGACTAGCAGCGGGGGAAGAAACATGGAATGAGCCCCAAATTGCCAGGCAGCTGTTGAAAATCAGGAGGGATATCTCAGCTGCGGATGTGCCCCCTGGAGAAGTGAGGGACGCGAGCCCCAGACAGGCCTCCCCAGCCTGGAGTACTGGGAAGAGACGCCTCCACACATCTGGCTATGAAAACTAGTGGGGAGTCTGACCATCTGAGTGGGATACAAGGCTGCTAGAAACCCAGACGTCCTTTTAAAAGGTCCACACACAGACTCACTCACTCGCAGGTACTCACCTTGGGCTCCGGTGGAGGGACGGCGACTCAGGGGTGTTGGAGGCATGTGAAAGGCTCACTGAGGTGTGTAGCTTCTTGGAGAGTGCTGGAGGACAGTCGCCATTTTCCCTGTAAGGGATTCATCTTCAGCGCAGCCGGCAGGCAGACGCCATCTTTCTTGTGTTGAGCCCTCCCCCAGCACAGCTAAACCTGAATCTGATTGGCCTGGTGAGCTCCATTTCTCTATGCTGCTGACTCACCGGGAACCTGGTCTACCTAACTTCCCTAGCTTGGGAGACACTTTCTCTGCAAATAGCCAGCCCCACCCCTGCCCACATGACACTCTTTCTTGGAAAACTATCAGAGTCCGGCAGATCCCAGGCAGGCAGTGATAGGCCTCTGTGTGCTCTGAGACTTTTGCTGAGTAGCTTCAGGCTCAGCACTGGCACCAAACCAGAATTTACATTAACCTGGTGACAACTCTTCCTACTCTAGTGACTTCCTGAGACCCTACCTTACCCAACTTGTGTACCGCATGAGGCTCTATCAGTGGCTGAACCTTAAGGGAGTGGGCAGCTGGCAGCAGGCCTTGGGGTGTCCTGGCTTTTTTTGGAGCTACCCCAGGCCCAGCAGTGGTGGCAGTCATCCTCAATTTGCAGCATGGTCTCTCTCTCATGCCTCAAGGTTTAGCACAGGCAGTGAACAACTGTGGATCACTTTGATCCTCTTACCAGCTAGCTCCCAACTGGTCACAGGCAGTGGGTGACCTAGGCCTGCACCGGAGCCCCTCCTAAGAGGCCCCAGAACCAACATACTTGGAGATTGGCTTGAGATCACCGCGGAGCACCACCAAATTAACCCCACAAATGGCATACACAAAGGCTGGTCTCACAAGGCACTAGAGCTCATTGGTGCAAATCCCACTTAGTAGGGTAAGCCTCCTGCACAGTAGTTCATAAGTTATGGATGTGGCCAAACCCCATAGCCAATCAGCCTGAGGGTCAATCCCACCCACTAACATGCCAATAGCAATCAAGGCTCAACAATAACAGGAGGGCACACACAACCCACACAAGGGACACTCCTGGAGCACCTGGAGCAGGTAATCAGGGAGACTGTGCCAGGGACCCACAGGGCACCTAGTACATAAGGCTACCTGGCCAAGACTAAGAGACATAGCAGATCTATTTAATGCATAGAAACAAATAGGCAGCCAAAATGAGGCAACAAAGAAATGTGTCCGAAATGAAAGAACAGGGGAAAACCTGTTCTTCATAGAAACCATAAAAAAGAACCAGTCAGAAGTAAAGAATACAAGAACTGAAATGAAGACTATACTAGAAGGGTTCACCAGCAGAGTAGATGAAGCAAAGGATTGAATCAGTGATTTGGAAGACAAGGAGGCAGAAACCACCCAATCAGAACAGCACAAAGAAAAAAAGAATCCAAAAAGAAAAAAAGAATCCAAAAAAAAAAAAGATGATAGTTTAAGAAACCTCTGGGAAAACATCAAACATAACAACTTTTGCATCATAGGGATGTCAGAAGGAGAAGGGAGAAAGCAAGGGATTGAGAACCTAATTTGAAGAAATAATGACTGAAAACTTTCCTAACCTGGTGAAGAAACTAGACATAAAAGCCTAGGAAGTGCAAAGAGCCCTAAACAGGATGAAGCCAAACAGGCTCACGCCAAGACACGTTATAATTAGAATGGCAAAAGTTAAAGCAAAGTGAGAATCCTAAAAGCAGCAAGAGAAAGGCAACTAGTAAATTATAAGGGAGTTCCCATAAGACGGTCAGCTGATTTCTCAACAGAAACTTTGCAGGCCAGTAGGGATTGGCACAAAATATTCAACATAATGAAAAGCAAGGACCTACAACCAAGGCTACTCTACCCAGTAAGGCTTCATTTAAAGTCAAAGGACAGATAAAGAGCTTCCCAGACAAGAAAATGCTAAAGGACTTCATCGTCACCAAACCAGTATTACAAGGAATGTTACAGGGACTTCTTTAAGACAAAAAAATAAAATAAATAAAATCAAAATTAAAATTATGAATAATAAAATGGCAATAACTACATATCTATCAATAATTACTTTCAGTGTAAATGGATTAAATGCTCCACTCAAAAGACATAGGGTGGCTGAATGGATTAGAAAACAAAACCCTTACATATACTTTCCACAAGAGACTCTCTTCAGATTTGAAAGCCACACACAGACAGGATGTAAAGGGTTGGAAAAAGATTTTTTATGAAAACGAAACAAAAAAAGCTAGGGTACCAATACTTATACCAGACAAAATAGACTTTAAAACAAAGGCTGTAAGAAGACTCAATAAAGGACCCAGTAATCCCACTTCTGGGTATTTACCCAAAGAAGCCCAAAACTCTACTTTGAGGGGACATGTGCCTCTATATGTTCATTACAGCATTGTTTACAATGGCCAAGATATGGAGGCAGCTTGGTGTCCATAGATAGAATAGATAAAGACGAGGTGGTACATATATACAATGGAATATTGCTCGGCCAGGGAAAGGAATAGGTTCTTGCCATCTGTGTCAGCATAGATGGATCTGGAGGGTATTGTGCTGAGTGGAGTATGTCAGACAAAGACAGATGCAATGAGATTTTGCTTATATATGGAATCTAAAGAACAAAACTAACAAACAAAACAGAAACAAACTCCTAGATACAGAAAACATTTTGATGGTTGCCAGATAGGAGGGGGTTTGGGGGTGTGGGTGAAAAAAGGAAAAGGATTAAGAAGCACAAATTGGTTGTTATAAAGTAGTTATGGGGATGTAGGGTATAACATAAGGAATATAGTCAATAATATTGTAATAACTATGTATAGTGTCAGAGGGGTACTAGATTTGTTGGGGTGATAGATGGGAGGGGGTTGAAGGGCAGGGTGAAAAAGGTGAAGGGATTAAGAAGTACAAATTGGGGCCAGCTGAGTGGCGCGTTGGTTAGGAGTTGGCTTGGGACGCCAGCTCTGAGCAGCTGGCCCCAGGTTTGGATCCCACATGAGAGCCAGTGACGCTGCGCCCTCTATAGCTAAGATAGTGAACAACAGCTCGACCTGGAGCTGGGCTGCGGTGAGTCACCGGCGGCGACGGTGTAGGCTGCAGGGGGCTGGCCGGCAGCTGGCATGAGCTCTTGTGAGCTGCCGTGAGCTGCCATGAGTGGCCGTCCAATGGCCGGCGACCGACTGCCTCACCAGGGAAGAGTGCAATGATCACAATACCAACATGGGCCAGTGAAGCGATGTCCTCCACAACTAGACTGAAGAACAAAAAGGGAAGCAACTTGTCTGTTCCCTTTCCTTGATTCCCCAACGCTGTTCCCCTCCCTCAATTCCCCAACAAAATATTAAAAAAAAACAAAAAGTACAAATTGGTAGCTACAGAGTAGTCAAGGGGATATAAAGTAAAGCATAGAAAATGTAGTCAATGATATGGTAATAACTATACATAGGGCTTGGTGTGTACTGGACTAGTCAGGGGATCACTTTTTAAATTATATAAATGTCTTACAGCTATGCTGTACACCTGAAATTAGTATAAAATAGTAAAATAATATTGTATGTCAACTGTAATTGAAAAAAGGGGGAGAGGTGAAGGGGAATAAGAGGTCCCAATTTCCTAGTATAAAACAAATAATTCATGGGGATATAATATACAGCATTGGGAATATAGTTAATATTGTGATAGCATAGTACAGTGTCAGGCGGTTGCTGGACTTATGATGGTAATCACTTCTTTAGGTATATAAACGTTGAGTAACTATTGTGTATACCTGAAACTAATATTGTGTGGTATCTATATTTCTAATAAAAATATTTTTTAAAATGTTACATACTACTCTGATATGTTAACTCATTTACTTTGTATCTCTATCTCATTCAAAAGAAACCTTTGTATCCAGTACCTCTGGGAAAATAAAAAAGTGGAGAAGTAGAATTTGCTTCAGAAATGAAACTGCGTGCCCTCCACTCCCAACTCCTGGCTTGGGCCATGTTCATACCAGATAAATGGAAGTTTTCAATGACCTTCACAGAACATTTCTAAAATTAACATTATGAAGGAGCTTTGTTTCAAGCTATTGTTATAACATTTTTTTTGTCTAATAAATTATAAAACAGATTTTATTCATCTTAATTTAGATAAAATAGTTTCCAACCACAGGTGTGTTTTCATGGACTAGCTTCATTATTTATTGAAGGCTTTGCATGTGCTTAGAACTTTTGGCTAAATCTGTTTTTGGGATGGGTACAAATAGCAGCATCACCACACAGTATAATTTAGTTTTGAAGTGAACCTATATAACAAATCACCTTACCATACATATACATGTTGTTAATTATAAAAATTCACTTATCTGTAAATCTAATATGTAAATTCTTTTTCCATCTGGTATATAATATAATGACACTTTATTTCAATATTTATCAAGATTTTATCAACAACTCAGATAGCATATGGATGTCTTTCATTTTACTGTAGGTAGTTGATATATTTAGACACATACAAAGGAAACTAATAAAAATGATATTTGTGGAAAAGATTCCAAAGTAATGTGATGTAGTAAAGACCTACCAGTTAATATTTAAATGGCTAAATAATATAAATCATGGTTATAGCTTATTGGTGAAAATGGGCTAAGTTGGTTAACATTTTACAGGTTTGAAAAGAAAATTTACATGCTGTTCCCATCAGGAAGATTAGTTTAAACTTGTGCAAATGGCCAAAGTGATATTAGATATAGTAACCTCACCAAAGATCATCCCATTGATTAATAATAGTATAATACAAAATTGTTACTAAGTATTTTTTTTCCTCAAGGAACTTTGATGTTTTCCTGTATTTCTCTAGAAACATAGCCCACTTTTGACTCAGTTTCTTCTGGAATAGTATGTGCCCTAAGTCTGCATATTTTACAGTGTGATGTGTGGAAAATAACCTTTCGCAAGTGATATATTTTTTTTTCTAAGGACCGTCATTTCCATAGCAAATCATTTGAAGTCCTTGAATTACTAAAATAAGATTCCATGGAAATAGTTTTTTAGAATAGTCAACTTGAATTCAAAAGGTGCTTTCAAATTTATTATTCATACCGATGCTTTATATTTTCTCCTCCTTTTTCATTTGTCAACATTTAAGTCATCTCTGGCTCTATAAAGACAAAGAGAAAGAAAGTAGGGGAAAATCTGTAGATTTCAATACGTAGTTTGCAGGTATGGTAAAAAAAGAAAAAATTCCTGAAAGGAAGTTAAAATTCCTCATGAGATGCTTATATATCATTTGCAGATTTCAATAACCCTTGGCCTTAAGTACTCTGGATACTTAAAATTTTGCTGATAAGTTTTATTTCTTCAGTTGTTTACTACCTGTTTACTAACTATTTTGTCATTTTAAGACCATTTATAATACTTTGTATAGATTTTATTTCTCTGTTATATAATGGGTTATATTCTCCTTAAGTGCAAGGATTATGTGATAACTGTCACATATTGTACATTTTAATTACTCACAGTTCATAGCACAAAACCTCACAGAGTAGCCTTTCAGCAGATTCTAGTTGAATAAACTACACCGTTTGTATTATTTGGGCTATTAGGCTGATGTTAAAATGGGTCAACAACAAAGCTTATGACAAATTTCAAAAATGGGTCAGATTGGCCTTCAAGTGAAAATATTGAAAAATACAGTGTACAGAGCTTAAAAAAATAAACAGATTCACACCTTTAAGAGACTCTGATAACACCAGATGGCACGTTGTTAACAATGGGATTTTGCAGTGTTCACAGAAGACATATATCATATTCTAGTCGCAGCTTCATTTTCCAAATAGGATCTTAATTTATACCTCCCCTCCCTAAAGCAACCAGGAAGCTCATATTCATGCAATTAAAGTGAGAATGATACAAACTTGTGGCAGTATATACCTTTTACTGATGTCTTTGTCTAGAAGAGCATCGCTTTGTTTGTTTTTTGCCCATTTCCCCCACACAAACACGATATACAAATGTGGACCAGAGAATAATCAATGAACACTCTGATTCTTTAAGGAGACATATGCATTGCTGCTTCATAGCAATCCTGAAATCCCTCAGGGTAGACATGGTGAAGGCCCCACCAAGAGTGGGAAGATCCTTGGTCAGATCTGATTTTGTACTGTAGGAAGACCTCTTTGTTCAGTCGATCTCCATGGCCTCTGGCTCTATCTTCTGAGAATTTATGCTTCTCTGTTATATGATTGGCCTACACGTGAAGTGGTGGTTTGAAAGTATGTTTCTCTTGGAGGTGGACTGGTGTGTGTATCCTGGTTCCTCAAAATTCATACAGGTGTGTTGTGTATAGACATAAACTATAATAATAAGAAGAGAATAAATGTCACCATAATAAAAATATCAAGAGCAGTTAAAATAAGCGATAGCGATAGTTTCCATTCTTACCCTCCCAGGAGTCTGTGAGTCCTGTAATGGACATTGCTTCTTTTGCCTGGCCTGAATCCCCCACTATGGTTTTGGTAGCAGCAACAAAAGAGCCAAAGCTGAGTCATTATGAGCACCTCAAAGAGGCTGTCCATTTACATTATTATCTGCTACTTCACCTGCTGTTCTTTCTAGTCTGAGTTTTTCTTCAACTCTATGAGTTACTCAAATATATCTCCAGCCTTTTTTCTAAGTTAATCAGAGCTTGTTTATTATATATAACCAAAGAATCATGACTGATACACTCAAACCTCATTTTGGATTCCACTTCCTGAATTAGTTCTTATTCTGAAATTGAGAAGGGACACTTCAGAAGTTCTCACAGAAAATTACCTACACTACAGGCAAGGGACCTTAACCTGAGGGCTTTGAGTGGGTTTTAGGTGACACCTGAGCCTTCTGAAATTTATATATGTATATGTATATTCCTTTTGGAAAAATTGACAGCTTTAACCAGATTATTAAAGGAGTCTGTAACCCATAGAATTCTAACAACTACTGTCCTAGAAATTTATTTTCAGTTTTTAATTACCATAAGGGATAGTAAAATGGTAAAATATTTTCTTCTAGTACAAATTATTTTTTTTCATGTGAAGAATGGCTTAATACCTAATCAACATGGAGAAATTTACTTGGAAATATAGCTACTAAATATTAAAATGTATCTGTAAAAGATTACATGAAATTTATTTCTCAGGGTGTTCTTAAATATAATGTAAACTATTTGGTTTAAATGTGTCCTCCTTAAAAAGAAAGAATTGGACATCTTGTGAATTTTGAATCCTTTCCAATCCTATGTTTTTAAGATTCTGTCTCTTGGGAATAAAAATAGAAGGGCATCTAAATATAAAATATTGTACCACCAGAGCTCAGGGCCAGCAGTTATTAAGAAGGAAATAAGACCAAAGAGATTTAACTGGAGGTGTTCAATTGAGAAGTAAAGGTGGAGACTCTTTAGTAGAACTATCATGGGAGAGGGTCAAGGACCCAGGTGTGTACAGATCCATTGGCAGAGTTAGTACCCTCATCCAAATGCTGTAACTGGAAATATCAACATGATTTTTTATTTGGCAAGCAGATCTCTTTATTTTCATAAAAGCATTAAGCAGAATCAAAAACAATGGCAAGGACAATGAGGGGATTTCAATTAGGGAGAAAAGCAGAGTGCTGATTCAAATACACAGGCTTTGGTGGTGGTGTAACTCTGGTGGGATAACTAACGGAAAGGTGTTTCATCTCCAGGCAGCTCCATAGAGCTCAGCATCCATCTCAGGGTGCATCGACATCCTGTTCCACTAGATAAAGACAGAATATAAAGAATAACATGTGATTTACTCTGCCAAGGGAATTTGGAAGGTCAGTGTATTTATTCAAACTGGAATTTAGCCTATACCCTATTGTTTTTCAAGGAAAAAAAATAGTTTAAGCATTTTAATCAAGCACAGAACACTGGTTAATTGGGGGATCTGGGACACATTGTCCAGGCTCTGAAATTTCTGTTCAATTCTGCATAAAGGGTCATGTGCTGCTCTTGTTATACCAGGGTGCATTATGTTCAACTAAGCAGTAGCTTATCCATTTGTTTTGTTGTGTTGTTGTTGTTGTTGTTTCAAATATCTATTTGATAGACCTTGATGTGTAGTCTTGCCTTTGTTCCTCCACCATTAAGCACAGCTGTAAACTCAGGAAATGATGCCTCAAACACCAAAGGAGAACTCTGGAAAGTGGTAAGAAGGTAAGCTGCCTTTTGGACCCCAAAACTGGACAAACAGCACAGCACCAGGGCATCTTTTTATTTTTTAATTAATTAATTAATTAATTAATTTATTTATTTATTTATTTATTTTTTACGCTGAGCCATGCTGCCACCTGTTGGCAGCTCAGTGGCTGCTCAGCTCGGGCCAGGCATTGAACCGCTGTTGCTCAGAGTTCACACTCTTGAGTGAGCTCTTAACCAACGGAGCCACTCGGCCGGCCCTAAATGTATTTTTTATTATTATTAGTTTCGAGTGTACAAAACAATGCAACCCCTTACGAAGTAACAACCTCCCTACCCCCATCCACTGCCTTCCCACTCCCGATATGCAACAGGGCATCTTTCTTCCTCCACACAACAGAGGAAGACTACACAGACCCATTGTTTTGTGATCACCAGACTGGCAAAAGGAAGCAGTCCAGGTGGGCTCACCATTCTCCCAGTGAGAATGGGAGTGCTTCTGACAACATCGGTTGAGCTGACACCATTGGGAAGGACGATAGTTGGAGTCCCATCACAAATAAGCAGCTAGAGGAAGCGTTATCCTTCCCTGCTGGGCCTGCTCCCCCTTTTCACTGAGAAATGGAGCAGGGTCAATGGAGGTGGCAGAGGGACCTGGTAAAGGAAGTGTCTGTCCCCATGGGCCCAAGTTTCTCTAGGGCAAAAGCCCTGGAGTAACTAAAACAATATTGACAAAGAAGTTACTCTACCCAATATTAAGGCTAACTATTATTGTAATCAAAACAATGTGATATTGACAGCATGATAGACACCAGGTCAATAGGACAGAGAACCCAGAAATAGATCTGCACAAATATGCCCAACTGATTGTGCGTGTGTGTTTTGAACATATGTTTTTCATTAGCGTCAGGTGTACAAAACGATGTAATAGTTAGACATTTACACCCCTCACAAAGTGATAACCCCCTCCCCCAATCTATTACCCCTCTGACATCATATATAGCTGTTAAAATTCCATTGACTCTATTCCCTGTGATGGTACTCCACATCCCATGACTATAAACATATTTAATTATAGTTGACATTCAATATCATTCAGCTTCAGCTTCAGGTGTACAGCGCAGTGGTCAGGCATCTACACCATGCATGAAGTGGTCTCCCTAATAAGACAAGTGCCAATGTGACACCCTACAAAATCTTTACAGCATTCTTTTTTTTTTTTTAAGATTTTATTGGGGAATTGGGGAAGGGGAACAGGCAAGTTGCTGTCCTTTTGTTCTTCAGTCTAGTTGTGGAGGACGTGGCTTCACTGGCCCATGCTGGTATTATCATTGCACTCTTCCTGGATGAGGCAGATCGGTCACCGGCCACTGGACGGCCACTCACGGTGGCTCTTGGCAGCTCACACCAGTTGCCGGCCGCTCACGACGGCTGCCAGCCACTCACGGTAGCCCATGGCAGCCCACTGCAGCTTCACTGCAGCCCATGCCATCGCCGGCAACCCACGGCAGCCCAGCTCCAGGTCAAGCCATTGTTCACCATCTTAGCTGCAGAGGGTGCACCATCACTGGCCCTCATGTGGGATCCAAACCGGGGCTCTGCTGCTTAGAGCTGGCATCCCAAGCCAACTCTTAACCAACACGCCACTCAGCCGGCCCACAACATTCTTAATTGATTCTTGAACAAAATGCAAAATCATTTCAGTGGAAGAAAGATAGCCTAACAACAAATAATGCCAGAGCAACTGAACATCTATAAGAAAAAAAAGAAAGGAAAATGATAAAAGAACCTCAATCTAAATCTCTCACTTGAGAAAAAATTTAACTCAAAATGAATTGTAGATTTAAATTGAAAACATAAAACCATAAAACTTTTAGAAAAAAACATATGATAAAATATTTGGGTTGTTTGGCAAAGAGTTTTTAGACTTGACCTTAAACTCACAATCTATAAAAGGTAAAAATTGATAAATTGGGCATCATCAAAATAAAAAACTTGCTTTGTGAAACATCATATGAAGAGAAAACGTCAAACTGAAAAGTGGGAGAAAATATTTGCAAACCACATATCTGACAAAGAATTGGTATCTAAAATTTATGAATAACTCTCAAAACTCAATAGTAAACAACAATACAATTAAAAAATGGGCAAATAACATGAAGAAGCATCACCAAAGAGGGTAGAGAGATGGCAAATAAGCACAACAAAAGATGTTCACCATTGGCGAAATGCAAATTAAAACCAATATGAGATATCACTGCATACCTATCAGAAGGGTAAAGATAAATTTTTAAAAATTGACAACAGCAATTGCCAATGAGTATTAGATTAGTATTAGATTAGATTAGATTAGATTGGAATGAGCCCAAATGTACTTCAACAGGTGAACTATTAAACAAATGGTTGTAGACCTCCCATGGAATGCTACTCAGCAATAAAAAGAAATTGAAACACACAACATGGATAAATCTCCAGGGAATTATATTCCATGAAAAAAGCCAATCCCAAAAGGTTAAGTACTGTATGGTTCCATTTATATAACATTGTTGAAATGACAGCACTTTAGAAATGGAGGACACATTCATGGTTGCCAGGGTTTGGAGAGGGGAGCCTGGTTTAGTTATAAAAGGGCAACACAAGGTACCCTTGTGGTGTAGGAAGTGCTCAGCATCTTGACTGTGGTAATGGACACACACACCTAGCCTGGTGATAAAATGACGTGGAACTAAATACACACACACAAATGCGTACAAATAAAACAATGGGAATCTGAAGAAGATTGGTGGATCGTGTCAATATCAAGTTCCTGGATGTGACATTACACTACAGCAGAAGGCTAACTATGTCCTTGGGCAGCTTGGCGTTTGGGGGTTGTTTAGAGTTGTCCTGACTAGCTATGTTTTTTCTTGCTTTCTTTCTGTGTATAAATGGGGTTGACAAGCACCAGGTTGACACCTGTAGTGTCAGCTGTTCTCACAAGCAGTACGTAATGCAGTGCCCAAGCAAGAACTCTGTACCTGGGGTGGTGGTGACAATACATAATGACCACGATAAAGAACCATCTGAAATGGGGAGATTTCCCTAAAGGTTCAAAAGAAGCACTAGCTGCTTCTTGGATTTTCATTCCACATACTTAGGTTCCAAAAACCCCAAGGA